CCAACTATTATTTTAGTGATAAACGACGTACCCATCGACGTATGTGTGTTTATAGGGGAAAGTGCGTGCACGTAATGATATATAATATGTCTTTATCATATTATTGAGGAGTTAATATTGAAAATCTCAACAATAACAATTCTGTGCAACTTACGGATTAACAACTAATAAAGCTAACCAATATATTGGAAATGGTAATCAACTCTATCATTTGCTCTTCAGCTTATCAGGCCCTGTTTAAATCCTCCAAAATTTTTGCCATTTTGTAGCACTTTTTGCCATTTTGGATCTAAACACTAGTAGCAAAAATTGGCAATTTGGCATTTGGCATTTGCTAGTCCATAGTAGCAAATTGTGCCAAAAAGTGCTTTGGGACCACTCCCTCTCTCTTTCTCTCTCACTTTAGTGCTAGAATGGCAAAACTTTAATATGCATCTAAACACCAACTAGTATTTTTACAATGCCAAAACTTTTGCCACCAAAACTTTTGTCATTTGTCATTTGCCATTCCAAATGGATCTAAACAGACCCTCAGTTGTAGTTAAACTTTGAATTCTAAAATGAAATTTTAGAATTGATTTTGATTTTTTTATTGTAGTTTATTTTTCCAGTATTGGTTTTTTAAATTGCTAAAAAAAGATAAAAAAATTTATCCACATCATGTTTTTTTCTTTGGTGTGTCGCTGGCTAGCGTTATACTAGTTTATAATCAACTCTAGACGAAATGATGAGACTACATATAAGCAATGCTAATGAATAAAGTTTTAAGGAAAAAAAAACATGTTTTTAAAAGTATAGCACAAACAATTCACTCGATATTCTATTATCCGTAATAATCCTATAATGGCTGAAAAGAATGCTTTGAATTTGGGAACATTATTTGTGGCTCTATGCATCACCATTTCGTCCACATGCTAGAGCTAGATAATAACAAAACTAAACTGAGGTCCTAGCCGTCGGTTGGTTACAGATCAACCGATCCTGGCACTGCATACACATGAACAAAACTACAAACACGTCGGTTACAGGCACATGGATGGATGGATCGATCGAGCAGTAGCCTAGACAATTGCAGCCATGCTTGCATGCTACCTGGTCGATGGATGGATCGCTTTAGCTCCCTTTAGCCTTTACGATCAGATGGCGCCCACGAATTCAATGCGTTCACAAGCCATCTCGCTTCGCTCCCGCGAATAATTGCGATCGCCCTCGTCGCCGTGATTTGGACGCCGGCGAGCGATCGATCGATCGAGCGAACGACTTATTTCCGCCCATTCACACCTGCAAAACGCAGCAGCAAACGCGCGTGCGTTGTACTCGTTTCAAAATAGTTTAAGTACTCCCTCCCAAAAAAAAGAAGAAGAAGAAGAAGAAGAAGAAGAAAACTTCTGACTGTATATTAGATACGAAGTTGGTTTTTTTACAAAGATAATATTAATTAAGGTTAATTTTTCGTCGAACGCTAAATTAATATTAGATCAAATGATTTATCTTAAGTCGTTCTTAAATTTTAAATTACTTAGATTTCCTTTCAAAATATCCGATTAGATCGAGAATGATGATTGGAGTGATGAGAATCATGGGAACCAATTTTCTTCTTTTTGTCATGTCCCCCAATAATGGTATTCTAGCTGGTTGCAGTGTGTATTTAAACTCTCCTTTTTCTAACCTATTGACGTGTATTGTTTTTGCGTGTTTACGAAAAATAATCATAGGGAAAAAATGTTTCTATTACAGTATAAAATTTAAAATTTTATCATTTTAAAATGGATGGGGTACTGTACTGTGTTGTGGATGGCTGCGATCGTTGGATCGATGGGTCTCGCTCTCCTCTCCCAACCCAACCAAATCGGCCTCTTCAATGCTCGGCTTTCGCTTCACGGACAAGTTGCCAATCTACGCTGCTACTACTACAATAGCTAGCTTACCTAGCTACGTGACGGCTACGGCCGCGTGACTGGTTCAATTCGTGCTTAGATTTTTGTTGGACTTGATTACGGATTAGATCGACAAAATCTTCCCTCGTTTTCTCGACATGCAAATTGGTTGGTACCACAGTAGAGTATACATCACACTCTACGAAAGCGTGTTAAGAACTTAAGATTAATTACATGGGGCGTAATTAGTCGACGGTAAAAATGGAGTTTGGTCGTCTGCGATGGAGTACTAATTGCATGAGACGTCACGCATTTATTTTTGACCGAGTAGGTCGACGGTAATTAACAACAGTGGTTCGTCGTCTTTGACAGCAAAATGATTCGCGATGTATGGTGAGTCTTCTCGGTTCTCACCTGCTGTCATTAACCACTTTTGACTAAGGTTTGGCTGTAACAGCATGCATTTGACAAACAAAAAGGCAGTTCAGTTTGCCCTGTTTTTGTTTCAAATTTTCAACTCATGCTGTCAATCATGTTGATATATTCCTTTTGGCACCTTGAGACCGATCGAGCTTAGTGATGAATTCGACGGTATGGACCGCATTTTTTCGTGATTATCGTGATTGGAAAAAGCCGACATTTGTGCTACCTCCGTTTCAAGATAAGTGGCTAACGTTTTTTTCGCTTTGTCTCAGATCGTTATGTGTAACTACCTGACCTGACCTGACTCTTGCACGCACGCACACTCTTTTTTTTTCTCACTCTTAATTGGAAAAAAAAAGGGTGTCCTTTTCTGATGTTAACATGAAACAAATTGGTCGATCGATTCTCTGATCGAACAGGAGAAACACTATACCATTTTGTAGCTTGAATGCTTCAAAGATGAAAGAAAAATCCTGGATTAAATTTAAGCCATTAAGATGGCCAGACTTGCGTGCATCGCACCGAATTGAGATGTTAATTAACATCTCTAATCACCATTAGTATTCCGCACAATTTGTACGAAATTAGAGATGTTAACTGCAGGAGGTTGCAACATCACCTCAGGCTAATAATTGAATGCATAGCATCAAGGAATTCAGGATAATAATAAGCCTTGTGGCCACCATCCCGAATGAGAGGCCCCATGCCTGAATCCGTGATGATCTACTCGACTACTCGCACATTTTTGTTGCTTTGTCCTCGTCTTTTTTTCTTCAGTGAAGATAGATCATGTATTGGTAGCTTGAACAGGTTCAGATACTGCTAAAGAACATCACTTTCTTGCAGATTGAAGTCAATACTCCGTATAAAGCCACGCTGAATTAATTGATCTGATAGAATTTCTCCGTTTCTTATGGCAGTTAGTTTTCACTTCTTTTTTCACAGTTAAGCTTTTTGGTGGCTGATGGTGCAGTGCAGATTGATGGACACGGTAGAAAGCAAGCAAGAATTGACCTGGTTAATCAATGTGTTGTACAACAACATACTACTATGTGTGTAGGAAAGCGATTAATCAAAGCCACGAAACGAAATGTTTACTTGATTGCAAAGCATTATGCGCGGTGAGGATTGCAAAGCAAGACATGATGAGACTTATAAGTGGATACGGATCATGTGGTGAGGATGAATCAATGGCCAGATTTCCACACGTTCTCCATCACTGTTGCTATTAATTTGGAGGGTTTATCACGGGGATACTGAAGTCAAGTGGGTAGTGTTGCTAGGATCCGAAGCAAAAGGTAGTGAAAAGAACATTACTAGTAGAAATTTTATAGGGTTTCACATGAATCGGCATATTCTTAGTAAGAATCTACATTTTTCATTCGCTACAAAAAGAATAACTTTACAAGGAGCATACAACCCTTTTTGAAAAGGAGAAAATTTACAGGAATTTCATAAAAATAAACTAATTCTTACAAAATTTATGTAAAATTTTCGCATTCCACTATTGTTCATATGTGAACCAGGTTTAAATTTTAGACTTAGCACGAATGCTCGCATTTAAAGCTAATTATTATTTTAATTGTAAGTGATGTATCCATTGACAATATAATGTCTATAATGACTTTATTAATATCAAAATATGTTGTTCTAGTTTAATAGAGATAGAATGTGCGTTAGTATATTTATATGGATGGACACGTGCATATTTAAGAGCGTCATGAATAATACTGTTTTTTTTTTCAAAAAGAAAGGCTGGACAGTCTACTCTGCTCTAGCCAATATGACAACATAAGTAACATTGACATAACCTCCATTTATTCGAATCGAATATTAGCGAATGTAAATCATCCCATTATAATAATTGAATACCAAGATTTGGCATAATCTTGTGCTTAGAACAAGCCAAAAATGTTGATACGGTGTGTGCGACGAACAATGAGAGCGCGCGTCGTGGCTGCCGAATCGCACGGCAAAATCTTCCTACTCTGTAAGATTCCATCGCCGAAAGTTTCAGTTTACTAGTAGATAATAAATCAATTAATCAAACAAATATCTTGTCGTTGGATATATACATATATCAAACTAAAACGGAATCAATCAATCAACGATTAACGCTTGGCAATTGGCATCATCCAGCAACAAGCTGATCCGATTTTGCTTCTGTTGGTGATTGAAAGCCCCGTCTCTCTCTTCCGTCACGGTTCGAATTTGCTTCGCCGCTTGCCTACCTGCAAAGGTTCGAGAACACACTTGAAGACGATCAAAAGGACAAGGCAGTGCTGTCGTTGCACACATCCTACAGTGGCATTCGTTGGAGCATTGCTGGAATGCTAGGTTTGTTTAAGCCATTAACAATTTAACAATACCTGTCAGTTCTCCGGTTTGTCAAACCAAAGTTTCTTGTCTGAATTCATACGTTTGCATGGCCTCGAAAATTCCTCGAAATGCATATAAAAATGTGTTATAGGTTCATGGGACCTGGGCTTCATTCCTGATCTTATCACCAGTGTAAGCTGGGAAGACAGATCGTGTTCCAACCACAGTTTGCATCTAGACTAAAAAAGCTGGTACAGAGAACTTTCAGTTTCTTCCGTGCTTTTCTGACGGAAAAAACAAATGCAGGTAGCATACTTCCAGGCTCCAGCAGCAAGGAAAACGACCATGATAGTACTACCATCGGCAAACAAAAACAGGACGTCAATGATAAAAGTGACTTTATATGTGACCGATGTACCAACAAGGCAAATACTGAATGATTTTCTTTGAAATAGAGCTGTCAAATTGCTGTAAGCTGAACCATCTTGTTCGAGCCGTACCACGGCAAAGCATTCATTCTGCGAGACTGAAAATCTACACGACCTCGGTTAAACAAGAGGCAACGTGAGGCATTAAATCTAAAGTTGCAAAAAAATTAGCCAGCATTGCACCCTTCGAACCAATCACGGTAACTGATCTCTTTGGGGATTCTCTATCAGGTCACTTGTCTTAGCCCATTGGCTCTGCCCTTACTTATGTGGGGGTGACTTCGGCCTGAGGCCTTCAATCTCAGGTGTTGTCACAACTAGGTGAGGAGCCTCAGGAGGAGGATTTCTTCCACCCTGCCATACTTTACCATCCTTGTCTGCAAAGTTCTTAACATATGCCTGTAAGAATGAGTTTTCTTAGCAGAGAGAATGCGGAAAAAAAACGATCACTATATGAGAAACTCTTGAAACTGCTTGCTCATGTATGTGTGCATAAAGTTGGGTTTTCAGCCTTTTTACCTCCTTGTTGAAGTTGGAATACGATAAACCTTTCCCAAGAGTAAGCCAACCCGGACGAATATTATGATCCTCTCCAAAGAGTTCAAGGCGCCTCTTTCCAAGAGCAAAATGCTCAATTATCCTGTACATGTCTTCAGGCTTTTTAGTTGAGCCTGTGCAATAAGGCAAATAATTTGAGGCATCAGTACACAAACATTTTATTTGTTGCTAACAATACAAAAAGAATATTCTTAGGAATATGAACAGTTCAAAAGGGAGCCTTGAACTCCACAAAACACAGGAAAGTAGACAATTAGATTTTTTCCCCCAAGCTGAATTCTAGAGAATAAATAGATGACAATATACCTATACAATAAAATTGGAAGAGAAATCATAAACCGTACCTGAACATAAACAAATTAATGACTAGTCTAACCAAGAGAAAGGTTCATCTGTTAAGGGGTATTGCGAAAGGCAACAAAATCGTGCATAACACATAGATAAATGAAGCGACAAGAACATAATTATTCATAAAGGCACCAAATGTGACATACTGACATTCTCAACAAACAACGGCATAGACTAAAAGTCCTTCTTCCACAAAGCAATCTAGTACACAAGCATATATGAAGAACAAGAAGCATCTTTGAATAGAACATATGAAACAATACCATCGGTTGGTTCATCGGCTATTATTATATCTGTGTCAATATTCGCATGGATGACATGTCCATCAGTGCTACGTCGCACTGTTCCTTTTATACCCATCAAGCAATGCTCCTGGATAAAGAAAAGAGTGAAACTTCAGAAGAAAGACAAAGAAACAGAAGATATTTTCTGGAGCATAAAGTATTAAAGTCAAGTTAACACTACCTTTGAGTGTTGCAGTATTGTATGAGAGTCATGCCGCAGACTGGGTGTTGCACTTTTCTTGTTGGTTTTCACCCAGCAAACATCCTCACATCTTCGAAATCCCCACTAGACAAAGAGAAGCTTCAGTCAGGTTCAACTTTATTTAAACATTTCATTCACGAGTTGAATTTTTTCTTAAAAAAAACTATGTGAAATCATTCACGGCTCTTGAATAAATGTATATTCAAAGAGAAGTGAGCTTAGGTGCAACTATTCAGAAGCAATCATAAACACATGAATGAAGCATAACATGTTTATTATGTTTTGTAGAGGACAACAGAAGCCTAGATGGCCTTCTGTGAACTGATAGCATGATACAGCCGAAAAGTGGTCAATACTACAAGGAATAATGCGCAACTATTAAAATCCACCTCACCTTCTTTAAACACTGACGGCCCTGTTCAAGACCTACACCATCACCGACCCAGAGGAAGACAAACGATGGAGTGTCTGCTATAGCCTGTATGTTCAAAAAATGCAGTGAAGCACATTAATTGTGTGCATAAATTGAACTCCAAAAGAAGACGTCAGATTCATAAGTGAAAGAATGAAACAAATAAACAAAGAGAGCAACCTCAATCTTTAAATTCATAATCTCCTCACCGTTCCAGTACTCTATGTGATCTGTGATTCCTGGTGCCCGGTGAACATATTCCTCCCATGGGGGATCCACAAGAATAACATCAAACTTCGTACCAAAAAATTCTGGAGAAAGAACATGTTGCCGCAGATCACACTTATAATACATTGGTGGTGAAGCAGACTTGGCAACAATTTCATCTTTCCTCTGTATGAGTTCTCTCAGTTTTGGATAGTCCTCTGCTACGCTTGTAAGATCCAATTCTCTAATGAAATTTTGAGGCCGCATGCCAGTGTCCACAAAGTTCTGTGAGTAATCATTCTGTTCACCTCTTGAAGGAGCTTTTCTGGTTGGTCCACTGTTTCTATTTGGTGTCCAACCACCACCAACGGGAGGTTTGCCATGTACCATTTCACGGCTTTGAGTGCCCAATTGATGGAAACTCAATCCAGACATATTTGTTGGAGCACCTATTCCGGAGCCAAATTGGTTTAAGTGAATATTAGGTCCAGCTCCCATACCTGGAGTGAAACTATGTTCACCAGCAACTGGAGGAGGGATGGGAAGGTTGGGTGGAACAGAAAGCATATTCACATCAACACCTCGAGCCCCAGGCCACAAAAGAGGGCCCCCAGGAAATGGCGGCACAAAAACACCAGGTAGAAGAGGATGGCCTGGAGAGTGGGGAATATTTGGCCCAATATGTTGCATTGGTCCCGGTGGCAGACCAAGAGGACCAAAAGGAGGGGGCATAATTGGTAATGTGACTCCAACTCTTTGAGAATCCCTGCCATTTGGTCTACCCCTTCCTCCTCTGGAGGGTCTATCACCTTTATGACCATGTTGAGGAAATTGAGAAATCATGCTGGCACTGCCACTTTGATCTGGTTCAGAATTGGTGACTTTATCACCGTTTGTTCCATATGTTACATCTCGATGAGCTCCCACTCCCACGTCATATCTTCCAGAAACAGAGCCCTCTCGTCCAAAATCAAGACTATTATTTGGTCGAATCTCTATCGAATCAGAAGTGTCATACCGACTTCCATAGGTTGAAGAACCTCTAGTACTTTCAGATCTACCCCTAAAATCTCGCCGGTAACCAACTCGCCCATGGAAACCCCCACCATCCTGTCTTTCCTGTGCATTCTTCCATTCCGAGTCACTTGCCTCTTTAGAATCTTGCGATTTACAACTCCTCAAATAGTCCACAGATCCTTCAGGCTCCTGTGTTTTGCCAGTCCAGTTTCTGTCCCTCCCGCTGCCCAATTTGTCATCTATGTGGGCATCCACTCTTGATTTATCTACTGTACCATTTCTTCTTTCATTGTCCAAGCCTAGTTGGCGTTGACCATAGTCACTCTGTCCAACTCCATCATGCAAAATGTTTTTTATCTCTACAGCTTTATCCTGCTTATCATTAAACACATGCACTTCAGTTTCATGACTTCTATCCACTGATCTGCTATCATCACCAACATCCTCCCCCATGGCAGAACCCTTCCTCTTATTGGTATCACACCTTTCCTCCTTGCAATCAGTCTCAGAACCATATGTTCTTGATGAGTCCCAATCATTCTTTTCATCTCTTCCCCTGTTCCTGTCGGAGTCCTTATCCTTGGAATCATCAGGACTTCTCCGTGGAATTTTCGGTGATCGTGAGTCCATTCTCAAATGATGGTCAGTGAACTTCAAGAATGCAAAATAGTGTACCCTTCCTCCCAATAATACTACTGAGCTCAAAAACCTTGGCTAGAAACTTCAGGTTTCACTACATAAAAAAAATGGTAAAACGTATCATATTTACAGCATATAAATAGCATTACAGTATATTTGAACCAGACAAGTGAGCTTGTGATAGAGAAGAATTAAATGAACAATGCTTTTCATGCAAAGGAAGGATATCCAAACATTATTTTTCAGGAAAAGAAGGCATTTCAAACACCAAAATATAGTCATACTGTGATAAACACATCTACTATGCTCCTCATAGTACAACGGGTTGGGTTATATACAACACTGCATAGGTCAAATAAGGTGCAAAACTGGAGCAAGACCTAAAATAAATTGGAAAAGGCTGCACATTGTATAATAGATTGGCTAACACAACACATTGTATAAGTGATTAACAAGTAATTAACTGATTGTACAGAATATAATCAAAAGATAAGTTAAGAAGACAATATCTACCCCCAGATCATGCGCTACTAGTAATTGCAAAGGTCAAGTTAAGCAGAAGCTTCCCAAAAGCCTATAATTTTTCCACTGCCTCAAATCGAACAAAACTCCTAGAGCAAATACACACAAAACACGACATAATGAGGGCATGGGAAACCTAGAGCAACGGCATTATATTATCTATTACCCACCGCGGCCATATGATCGTTAGGTTGCACCTAAACGCTAGAAATACGGATCCCTAGCCATCTCCGGTGATCAAAATACGAAATTCTAGCCTCAACACGGAGTGAGGAAACCAAAATTCCTCAACACGGAGCGCGATTTCACCGCTCACCAACCCTAAACCCCTAAAATCATTAGCAAAAATCCATGATAGCATCGCGCTTGAACTCAACCGCAGCAGAATCGAAAGGAACTAAACACTCCGATCCAACAGCAAAAGCCTAGGACAGACTCTCCGCGCGAAGCCTTTGTTCAATCGAGACTTCGAGCGTGGGAACTGAAGGCGGGGAGAAAGGAGTACTAGGGCTTACCAGGATGGGAGGTGAGGGTTCGCTTCAAGTAGACGAGCCTTGGTTACACGGCGGGACGAGGCACGAGCGCGGCGGAGGCAGATCGCCGCTCGCCGCCGTCCGCCGTGCGCGAGGTAGTCGCCGCCGCCGCCGGTGGTTGGCTGACTCCGACGCGACGCGACGCAGGGGTTTTGGTGCGGGACCGCGTCGAGAATTTTGGGTCGGGGTTGGCCATTCGGCCCATCTGGCCCACATATACATTCGGCCCATCTGGCCCACCGAAAACGATCAACGCCTTCTCTTTTCCGACTAAAAACCAAACGAGCTCTCCTCCTCCTCCCAACCCAAACGCCGCCTCCGCCGCCGCGGCCGCCGCCGCCGCTTCTCTCCGGTCACCACCACGACGGAAGCACACGCCTGCCGTTGCTCCGCCGTTCTTCACCCTACGGCTGTTTCTCGGACGCTTAGCCTGGTGGATCCCTCTACGGGAGATCCACATCCATCCGGACCAAAAAATTTTGGGGGGATTCGGGGTAAGCTTTCCCTCGGCTGTGAGAAATCAGTCATGTCCCATCCATTTAGTTATGCTTGAAAATCATCAGGTTAGCTGAGGCATCTCTCTAATGCTAAATCATCGCATTTCTCCAGTGATTTCACCCTTCTGATGCTTCGCGCGCTTGTTGCTACCTGTACCGTTGTCTGAGTGGGTGGGTAATTTTATATGGGAACCCGAAACCATCTTTGGTTAGCCGCCAAGAGGACTTTGACATGGTATTTAGTCGGTTTCACCATTTCCGATCGATATGCAACCGTAGTATCAGTGACGGGCGATTCGATGCATCCCACGTTTACAGCGGCCAGTAGCTCCTTGAGAGGTATGGAGAATGGTAATTTGTGCAGGTTCAACTAGGCATGGACAGTTGGATGACTCTACAGTTCATATTCAAATATTTCTTCTGTCTTCTTATTTGTGCTGATCAGGTTGTTGGAACTAGGTGCTGTAGTGCTAGCCGAAAGGAGCTGCCTCCAAAAGTACCAGTTCTCCCATGGTGATGTTGTTTTGTTCAAGTGAGTGTTTGGAATTTGAGGAAAAGATCGACGCCTTTGTCCCTCGCTTGCTCGATGTCGCATATCTGATTATTCCTTACATGATCTGCAGGTGCCCCAGTGATCATAGGGAGTTGTTTGTCAAGAGATTAATTGCCCTGCCTGGGGAGTGGATGCAGCTCCCTGGCACCCCTGATATAATTAAGATCCCAGAAGGGCACTGCTGGGTTGAAGGTGATAATGCTGCCTGCAGCTGGGATTCTAGGTCATTTGGCCCAGTAAGTTACTTCTGTTCCTTTTCCTGTTTAATTCCAGTCCAACATGCAACACTAATTTCACATAAGTTTGGTTGATCTGAGTTAGCATTGAAGTCTAGTTGTTTGAGTGAAACTTATTTATGCTTTAGCTCCCCTTCACTGTAAGAGATGTTACCAGCATTTTTATCCCCTGATAGACTTTTTGCCATATTTTGATCCTCAATACCAACATTACTGTTTGCCTCCTGATAGACTTTTGCCATATTACCGGTACTTGGGATACGTGGAATCAGGCAACTAAACAGACCACTAACCAACACTTTACCACTCGTACTAGTGCAAACAAGTTTGAATTTTCTAAGTTTCGATGTTCTTTGATGCTGCCCATTGTTGCAAAAGTCGAGAACATTTGCTTTCTCTATGAGTGTCGTGTGTATGGGCTGGCGGAGATGAGCATATTAATTGCTTTGTGTCTGCTTTAAAATTATACTATCTCAATCTATGACTATACTTTTCAATCTACAGGGCCAAGATTTGACACTAAGTTATAATAACACCGCATTTTTTTTAGCTTTCTAAGACATGCTAAATTAATATAGCCGTCAATTTTCATCTTTGCTGTGCTCCCTTTGCCCATTTGCTATGTTTTACTCCCTCCTTCCCAAAATATAGCTACCTAGGAGTGTTTTGGGAAAATTAAGGATTGGGTGAAAGGTCTAAAATGTCCTTCATTAATGCATAGGAGGTTGATGGTATTAAGGATAGTATGGGTGGGGTACGGGTTTCGAGTGCTAGTGGGATGATAGGGCCCCCTAGGGTGTGGTACTTGTCCTAAGATAGCTATTTTTGGGACAAAATTTAAACCTAAATGTAGCTATATTTTGGAACAGAGAGAGTACTATAATAATCATGATTAGTTAGCAAAGCATATTACCTATACAAGCCTCCTGATTAATACAACATGCTATAGTATCTTTTTTACCTGTTGGAAAGTGTTGCATGTGGGATATGAAAAAATTATCACGCCGTAATTTGTAGTCTTTGATGTTTGAACATTTTTGGTCCCTACCAACAGAAACAATATGGACTGCACTGCACTAAACAACTAGTTACCAAACAGAACCAAAAGAGGGACTTAATAGAAAGGAGTACTAATCAAAATTGTGATAATTGGGAAACCATATTGAACATGCCAGCATATCCAATGGTTCCAGAGGTCAAGCACAATTGTCTGATTGGTGAAAGAGTTTCAGTAGTGTGCTGCAATCTAGGTTGAGGATGAATTTGCAAACCAACTTTGTTTGGTCAATCATGTCCATGATCTAAACCTTGGCTTGTACTGAATAGTCATGCCCGTTGTCTAAACTATGGCTTTCATAATGAATTAGTGATTTCTGAATTCTCAAGTCCTAAGCTTCTAGGCTTCTAGCAAAGAGTTGGACTTTGTGGTTTCTTTGGATTGAGAAAATTTAGGATTTGCCACCCGTCAGGTAGTTCACTAGCATGTAGGACCTGTTCCCACATGTCATAGACACATAACTGTCACTAAATTGCAAAGGGGCACATCCTCAAATCCTCGGCCTTTTAGATCGGATAGTCAGACAATTACTGTCGTACAAATATTAAATTGGTCGGGCAATATATTTTAACTTTTCAATCTTGAATCGTGATCTTCCATGTTGAAAAAGAACGATCGAACTATCATACTATGCAGCAAAATAATATAAAATGTTAACACAAAATAGTATTTTCTTCAAGCTTAAATACTACCCATTATGACTGTATGTTTAATTTCTTCTCTGTATGTTTTGCACCAGTAGTCCAGTACGACTTATTTAATTTCTTGTGTTTTTCAGATCCCTTTAGGTCTAATTAAAGGGAGGGTGGCCCACGTCATCTGGCCACCGTCAAAGATTGGACGAGTTGATACAAAAATGCCTGAAAATAGAATTTCACCCCTTTGATTCGACTCACTACATTGGATTGTATTTCATTTCAGTTCGGCCTATAACTTTAGTGCTTGCCGGTTGCTTAGCAGCTGTTCTAGTTGTAACAGAGTTTTTGTTTTCACATTGTTCTGTACTTCTGTAAGCAAAAGCTACTTCATTTAAAATTGACCAAGAGGTAAACCCTCATTCAGGGCCTTTGCATTCAGTCATTTGTTCTGTAAATGCATATTAGTATTTACTCCTATCGTCTTATGTAATTTTCTTTCGGCTTGCCTTCTCTTTTTTAGCTTCATAATATGTTGGGATCAACACATGCAAGGTGATGCACAAAAGACCATTCAGGTTCTTTCCTCAATGCTGTAACATGTTTACATGCTGTGTGTATATATGTACAAAAAAAATAAAGCAAAAACCTTTAATGCCAAATGAAATATTTTTCCCTTTTTTCTGTACTAAGAAAAATAAATCTACTGTTGTTATGTACAAAGACTAAAATGTGTCCTACAGAGGTACGAATTTCCTTTTTCCTTCATCATGTTGATGCATCCAGAGCTCTACCTTGCAGCAGCAGCCATGAAGTTCATCACCATGATCCTGGCTTTGTTGGTGGTCATGAAGCAGAGGAAGAGGTGCTCCTCGAGCTCGTCCAGCTGCTGCCTGAAGCTCTCCTCGTTCTTGCTCAGCTGCCTCAGCACCTCCTGCACCAGCCTCCCCTTCCCGCCGGCGCCCGCCGCCGGCCGGTGCTCCACGCACAGCCGCCGCAGCGCCACCATGTGTTCCCCCTCGTCGCGCACCCGCGCCACCAGCCGGCTGATCGTCTCCATGTCCCGGTTGAGTATGTACGTGCCCTTCGCCGCGGCCTCCAGCTGCACCAGCGCCCGCCGCGCCGCCCGCCCGGAGAAGAACCGCTCCCCTAGCCACGCCGGCGACATCATCGGGAACGCCGCGAACGCCGCCAGGATGTGCACGCCGATGCAGGCGCCGACGACGGCCACGACGGCGACGGCCGTGACGAAGGACACCGACAGCGCCCGCCTGAGCCGCGCGACGCTCCTGATCCGGTGGCGCGCCTTCTTCCTCCCGGCGTCGAGGCCCCTGAGCAGGTCGCCCGAGCCGGCCTGCACCTCCCGGAGCCTCCCCTGCGACGCGGCCAGCGCGGTGAACGGCTGCCCCAGCGCGGCGGAGACGTCGGCGAGGCCGGACACCCCGACGTCGGAGGCGAGCTTGCGGAGCGTGTGCTTGAGCGGGCGGTAGCGGAGGCGTATATGCTCGATGTCCTTGAGCAGGTGGCTGCAGAGGAACGAGGCGTTGGCCGTCTCGGCGTAGTAGGCGGCGAGGAGGCCGCGCACGTCGGGGCGGAGGCGGCTCCCGCGCGGCGACGCGAGGGCTGCGGCGACGGCGCGCTGGTCCGGCTCGAGCAGGTGCTCGGCGAAGAGGCGGTAGGAGGGGAGCCGCTTCGACGCCGCGCAGCCGCCGCCGCCGCCATGGCGCGGCACCAGGGCTGCGCCGTGCGCGAGGGTGATGTCCAGGACGCGCGCCCAGAAGTCGTTGTACGACTCGGTCCGGAACGCGCTCGTGTACTCCTCCCGGAAATCGAAGCTCGACGACGGCGCCACCACCTTCTTGGGCTCATGAACTGCATCAATCATCACACGCCGAATCAGTAATCACCATGAGAAAATTAACGACCAAACTGAGATCGAAAACCATGCATCGATCGATACGCTAATTCGATCTGTGCAGCTACCTTGTTGAGCGTGATGCTGCATGCATGCACCGAAACAATTGAACGTGCTGCCAGCCATGCTCGATCTCCTCGATCGATAGCAATGCAATGTTGCGGTTGGTTGATGGATATGCACGCACGAATGCTTTTTATACAGATGCGTGTGATTTGGTTTGGTTTAGTTTGTGACGACGAATTGTTAGCTAGCTAGCTAGCTAATTAACATGTGTCAAAGCGAAGCGACATGGTTCGATTGCGGCTTGTCTTGGCGTGCTCCTGTACGAATGCATGCATATACGCTACAGGTTGGATGGCTCCGACAGAGCCCCGTGTCATTGTGACTGCGTTATTTTTTTATTTTACCTCCGCCGGCGAGGGTCCACCAGACAGTGACTGATCGACCGGGTTTACGTCCTTCCACGCGATGCAAACAATCTAGTAATAGAATGCTACTCCGGCTCCTATAATATTTAAACACTAGCAATATATATATATACACTCGTGCATTGCAATAGGTTAAAACTATTATTATTATTATTATTATTATTATTATTATTATTATTATTATTATTATTATTATTATTATTATTATTATTATTATTATACTGTTTAGTTATGGTGAAATGTGCTTGGATAATTTATTTAGGAAATCATGAACTGCAATTCGGACTCTCGTCTCAGATTAGCATACGAGTTCTTTTAAAGAGATTTATTATATTATTTCTTTTGTATTTCTAAAAGTGAGTAAACTTAAAAACTGATTCAAACATATATCTGTATTTTCAAAAACGAACAAACTTAAATACAGATTTAAAGACAGATAACGTACCAGAGTAATGGTAAAATCATCTTCAGTTTTTTTAATATTGCTAGTAGATGAGAGATAGAGATTACTCTAAGTTTTTGTTTTAAATCTAAACATAGCTCTATAATTTAATGGTTTTTATGTGACATATGGTGTACTAATGGAAGAGGATGTGCATTGTGCTAGAGTACATAACTTGACATGCATGCATGCATGTTTGTCAGAATGTGCAACAATTAATCTACGTACCTTGCTGATCATCTGGCTTGACGCACCCGCCAAAGCACCTGAACGTGGCGCCCATATTACTCAGACAGAACACTCGATGCGATCGACGTCCAAGCTGATCAGAAGCTACTAGTATTTTCGTCTGACCTCTATAGAATTCGATGATCAATGTCGTTGCTTGCCACTATATGTAACCAGACGATCAGCTAAGCTAATATTATTTTTTCCTTCTCTTCTTGGTCGAGCATGCGAGGCAGCAACGTTATCGGGTCAAAGTGATGAGAGGAGGAAGAATTGAAGGTGGGGGTGGATGGAAACAAGACGCTTATAAAGCCCCTGCAGCCTCCACGCGGATATTATCCTTGGGCACGACGACAAGCCTTCTCTTCTCGGCCTCTGATCTGGACGATCGACGAAGCTTGGAAGGAAGCCCAAATGGTTGGCAATCACTCAAAGGGAAAACCCAACAAACACCACATCGACGAGAGCTAAACTTTGCTAGCCGCCCGCGACGACGCGGATGCGCTAGAGCCCACTAATCTGTAGCAGCAGCTTGGCTGTGGGCCCGGCGTGTCAGTCATCCAGCACCGTTGGATCATGCCGTGATTACGTGGAAGGTAGGTGGGCCCGCGCGGATCGATATATGGCCTGTTTGAGGGAGCTTTAGATTCTGAAAAGCAGCTGTTTGGTAGCCAGCTTCCGACAATCTATAAAAGCTTTGAAACCCAGCTTCTTCAGCTTCTAACTTCTTAGTTCATTTTTCAAAGGGCCTGTTCACTTTGATAGCAAAAATTTGGCAACTCGCCAAAATTTTGATAGAATTTATTATATAGTTACCAAAATTTGGCAGCAAACTAAATGTAGCCACTTTTTTGACAACTTTATCAAAATTTGGTAAGATTAAAAATGGCATCAAAGTGAACAGGCCCAAAATCTGTAACTACAGATTCTCAGAAGCTGTGAACTGTTTTAGACAGCTTCTAACAGATGCAGCTTTTGGTCCAAAAGGTACAGATGGGACAAGCTCCTCCAAACACGGCTATATCTCTATCTCCGTCGTTGCTTGCTCGCTTGCTTGTGTCCTCGCGGCCGCCGCGCCGTCGTGGCGTCGCGCGCGCACGGCGCGGGGGCGCGTGGATGCGGGAAATCCGCGGGGGATTGTTGCGTCTGGCCAAGAGAACTCGCAGGGGCGAAAGCTACCGGCGCCGCGCGATCCACGGATGCATGTACGCTTTTTTTTTTTTGTATAATGGCCCAGATATGCATGCCATATTGCCATTGCCACTTGATGAATCGAGCCGATGACGCGGGTTACCTGAAGATATTTTTGGTTGGATCGGTCTGGGACATAGGACGATGCAGATCGAGGAAGGATGAGCGTTGCAGATCGAATTAAGGTTCGGCGTGTTCGTTGGGTACGTCTTTGATCTGCATTTTGCGTCAAGAAATGGACAATAAAATATCTCTACACATATTTCATTTCCCAATCATTTTTTTTGAAAAAAAAAGAGAGGGAAAAAAAAAAGAACCAACAACGCTAGGCTAGGTAGCTCGCATAGAGCCAGACACATTTTACTAGTAGCAGTAAAAGGTTTGCAAGCTAAGGGCCAGTCAACTTGCGGTGAGCACGCAGTGGCTTGTACAGGAAACGACGCGTTGAACAGGAGAATGGCGTGTGTGTTACAGTCGGCAGGTGGTATCTGCTACGCTACTGGTATTCACTGTCGAGCAATGGCGTCGCTGTTGGTCTCAGTGATTACGCCATGAATCACACCCAGGTGGGTCAATCGATCTCAATTCTCCACTGAACTCCCCACTAACACACCATTAGGCTGTGTTTTTAGTTCAGCGCAAAGTTTGTATTTTAGTTAAAATTGAAGATGATATTACTGAAAAATTGTGTGTGTATGACAGGTTGATGTGATGGAAAATGACTGAAGTTTGGATCTAAACTTTAGATCTAAACACAGCCTTAATTATCCTCCGTATCTCTAGATACACCGTGTGTTTTGAGGCGGCTACCATCTTCAAAGGCATTGGACCGGGATACAGCGCATAAAGATTGTTCAGTCACATAGACCCAATTGGTACCTGTCAGGGTTATGGATACGAGAATACTACCTAGCGATCGATCGCTAGGGGTCACTAGGGGCGGTCAGATTCCCTCCCTCCACCTGGTGTCCTTTTTTGGCACCACATTACTGTCCTATTTTAGTAAATTTATGCACCTAAAATTTATACACCTTAAGTTTACACATCTAAAATTTAGAGAACAAAAGTTTATAAATCAAAAGTTTATATATCCGATTCAAATTTAAATTTGAATTCAAATATTTTTATATATAGTATTTCTATACATCTAAAGTTTATACACCTAAAGTTTATAGACACAAAGTTTATAAATCAAAAGTTTATATACCCGATTCAAATTTGAATTTGAATTCAAATATTTTTTATATATAGTATTTAGATACATCTAAAGTTTATACACCTAAAGTTTATAGACCAAAAGTTTATAAGTCAAAAGTTTACATACCCGATTCAAATTTGAATTTGAATTAAAATATTTTTTATATATAGTATTTTTATACATCTAAAGTTTATACACCTAAAGTTTATAGACCCAAAGTTTATAAGTCAAAAGTTTACATACCCGATTCAAATTTGAATTTGAATTCAAATATTAGTTTATAGATCCAAAGTTTATAAGTCAAAAGTTTACATACCCGTTTCAATTCTGAATTTAAATTTAATTATTTATGGTGTAGTAGGAAGAGAAAAGGGGAGGAAGGGGGGAGAGGAGGGAGCGATGGAGGTAGGGAGGGGCGGGTGATCGCTGTGAGCGATCACCCGCCCATTAGGCGTACCCTTATGGATAACACATACCCAACAGTAATCGACTAAACTCGACGGGGCCCACTATATACAAGTCTTATACGAAATCAAACCTCATATATAGCAGGAGTTCCGGATAAGGAAAGACAAATAGAGTTCTATATAGAAACGATAAGGACTACTCGGATTATATCCATAGTGGTCTCCCTAAATTTACTTAGACAAGAGGACACATATGTTTATAAATACAAGTCCCCTAGGAGGAGAGGGGACAAGCCACAAGATCAATAAGACACAACATATACACAAGCCAACACACGCCACCAAATATCGATATCAGAGATAAACCTAGACAAACCCAATCCGGTACTTATGGAGGCCGGCAAGAGGGATCTAGCGCTATCTCTGATCTCGACAAGTCCATGCTCGAGAAGGAAGACTACCCTGCCGTCGAGTATGAGTTGGTTATCCATGTCGGCAAGACGACGACGGCTAGATAGGTTATCCAAATCATTATACTTGTGTAATTATGATGAATAAGAGCAACACCGGCTTCGGTCAACAGGACGTATAGCTATTACCTGTCAGATAAGGGGCCCGAATCTGTATAAAAATCCCTGTCTCCATCTCTTTTACCTCAATCTCGCATATACCCTGATACCGACGACCCCCATACCATCCAAATACCCTAGTCGTGACTATCAAACGTCGACACTACCAATTAGGCGTACCCTTATAGATAACACATACCCAACAGTAATCAACTAAACTCGACGGGGCCCACTATATACAAGTCTTATACGAAATCAAACCTCATATATAGCAGAAGTTTCGGATAAGGAAAGACAAATAGAGTTCTATATAGAAACGATAAGGACTACTCGGACTGTATCCATAGTGGTCTCCCTAAATTTACTTAGACAAGAGGACACATATGTTTATAAATACAAGTCCCCTAGGAGGAGAGGGGACAAGCCACAAGATCAATAAGACACAACATATACACACGCCAACACACGCCGCCAAATATCGATATCAGAGATAAGCCTAGACAAACCCAATTCGGTACTTGTGGAGGCCAGCAAGAGGGATCTAGCGCTATCTCTGATCTCGACGAGTCCATGCTCGAGAAGGAAGACTACCCTGCCGTCGAGTATGAGTTGGTTATCCATGTCGGCAAGACGACGATGGCTAGATAGGTTATCCAAATCTAATTATGATGAATAAGAGCAACACTGGCTTCAGTCAACAGGACGTATAGCTATTACCTGTCAGATAAGGGGCCCGAATCTGTATAAAAATCCCTATCTCCATCTCTTTTACCTCAATCTCGCATATACCCTGATACCGACGATCCTCATACCATCCAAATACCCTAGTCGTGACTATCAAACGTCGACAGTACCGATCCTGTTTAAATCAATTTGATATGGCAAATTTTTTTGGCAAAAGTTTTGATGGCAAAAGATTTAGCATTGAAGTTTTGCTAGATGGTGTTTAGATGCATGGTAAAGTTTGCCATTTTACTAGTAAAGATAGAGAGAGCACGTCTCCCAACACATTTTTGGCAAAATTTGCTACTCTAGACTCTCAAATGACAAATGCCAAATTGCCAACTTTTGCTACTAGTGTTTAGATTCATTTTGACAAAAGTGCTCCAAAACAGCAAACTTTTTGCCATTTTAAAGGAACTAAACAAGGCCTTAAACAAAAAATAATATAGCATAGGGTGTTACTGATTTTGTGAATCTCAAAACATACTCATAAGGATAATGTGTGTATTTATAGAGATGAGTGTACGTGCGCATATAATGTTCGCATAAAAAAATAGGGGCATTTGCTTATTTGACCCTGTTTTGGACTCTAACTACCAATTTGACCCTACTTTTTAGAGTTTGCTTATTTGACCCTCCTTTTTAAAAACGAAGCTCCTCTCTGACCCTATTCCGTTTAGGTGAGTTCACGGTGTTAAGTTAGGGGTAAATAGTCCATTTTGCCCCCCATCTTCCCCATCGTCTTCAAACGCCCCATTGTCTCCATCGTCCCGCCGGAGGCGCGCGGCGGTGGCGGCAGCCGCCGGGAGCACCGGTCCGGGTACCGGACGCCCGAGCCGTCATCGCCCAAGGTCTCCTGCAAGAACGGCGCATGCCCGCTGCCGCCCCGGCCGCTGGCCGACTCCGCCGCCACCGCAGCGCGCAGCCGGCAGAAGAGCTCGCTCGTCGGGAGGGTGCTTTTCCGTCGCAGCAAGTCGAGGAAGGCGTCGCCGTCGCTCCCTTCCTCCGCGAGCCGCCGCCGCAGCCCCCTTCCTCCGCTTCCCACCGCCGCCGCCCCTTCCCTTCACGGCCGGGCGCCGGCGCGGATCCCGCCGCCGCCGCTCCCTTCCTCCACGAGCCGCCGCCGCCCCCTTCCTCTGCTTCGCGCCGCCGCCGCTCCTTCCCTTCACGGCCGGGCGCCGGCGCGGATCCCCCCGCCGCCGCTCCCTTCCTCCGCGAGCTGCCGCCGCCGCCCACTTTCTCCGCTTCCCGCCGCCGCCGCTCCTTCCCTTCACGGCCGGGCGCCGGCGCGGATCCCCCCGCCGCCGCTCCCTTCCTCCGCGAGCTGCCGCTGCCGCCGCCCCCTTTCTCCGCTTCCCGCCGCCGCCGCTCTTTCTCTTCATGGCTGGGCGCCGCGCGTGGGTTTGCCGAGCGGGCGCCGGCGGGGGTCGGCTTCACGCCGCCGCTGCTTCCTCAGAGTGCCGCCGTTGCCGCCGCGCCGCCCGACGCCATCGCCGTCGCACCGCCTGACGCCGCCGCAAGCCCACAAGCACAAGAGACACGGAGTTGTGGATAGGGTTTGGATGGATAGGGTATATGAGGGTAATTTAGGCATTACGAATAATAATCATATTTCTTTATTTTTTTAAAATCTAACCTTAACGGAGGTGTGGAAACAGGGTCAAACGGGAGCTTCATTTTTGAAAATGAGGGTCAAATTAGCAAACTCTAAAAAGTAGGGTCAAATTGGTAGTTAGAGTCCAAAACAGGGTCAAATAAGCCAATGCCCCAAAAAAATACCCTCCGTTTTTTCTCCCCCCTCGATTTGGTCCGCGGAGAATTGATTGAATGGCACGTGGTCTCGTGGAAGCCCATATTTGGTTCGCAAATTGGCAACTGTTGTTTCAAGAATGCCTACTATCGGTAGCCCGACGGAAGAGAGAATATCGAACACAGCTTAACTAAGCAACCTGCCATACTAGTACTCACCGCTCTATCCATATATGCATACATGTGGTTATCTTTAAAATATTTTTTCTTCTCAACTACTTATCTGATTTTTATCCAATCACACCATTATACTCATCGTAATATCTTTATAGTAAGATATCACATGACTATATTATGATGAAAGAAAAACATATATTCCAAAGCGTTAAAACTTAATGTTTCATACGCAACAGCCACATGTTTCAACGTGTGTTTTCACTGTGTTTCACAAAAGAAATTTATTATTTTTTGTTTTGTCATGTATAATTTAATGTTTCAATGGTGTTGGCAAAATATTGAATGCATCTACTCATACTCTCTTTGTTGCTATATACTTAGCTCTCTCCACTCCATGTATGCATGCAATGGTCCTCTAAACTTTTTTTTTCTTCAAAACTACTTATTCAATATACAACCTAATCATACCGTTGAAATCGTTATAATTAAAAACGTTAAAACACATTGATTCGTACGTGATACCGATATGTTTCAATGTGTGTTTTTACCATGTTTCATAAATATTTTGAATGTTTCACCCTGTACTATTTAATACTCCCTCCATTCCAAATTGATCTACATATTTCATAGGTACACCAAGACCAAGAAAAACTAATAACTCTCTCATACTATATTTACTCTAGCAACAAACTCTATACATGCACCATTCCCAATATTTTCTAGCCAATAACAAATCAAGATATTACATGTGGGTTATAAATACTTGTGTGCATGGATGCATGTATCAATGCCTATTTACTCCAATGCACAAATAACAAATAGACTTAATAAATGAACACAAATATATAGATCATTTAGAAATAACCTTAAAAAAACTATATGTAGATCAATTTGGAATGGAGGGAGTATTTCACTCGGTAATCAACGGAAACATTTGAACAACCCTTTTTTTTAGGATGAAATCCGGCGTCCGATTTGTTGGGAGTTCGCCATCGTTTGCGATCAAATCTGGGCTAGAAACGTGCGGGCCTAGATGGGCCAGTGGGACTCCATATCGCGCCAACTGTGGTATGTGCCTACACAGCCCAGTTCAAAATCCGGCCCATATTACGAGTCACGTTGTTACTGTTATCCTCGACGTAATAATCTCATGAATTTTAATCTCAACTTCTCAAGTTACATCTTAATTGTAATGTATCATTAAGATCTACATAAACAATCGGGTACTTATGTGGTACTCGTTCATTAATTATTATCACGATTCCGTTCAGTAATTCTTTACAGGAGCTGAACAGTGAACACCAAGCTGCCAAAGACTTATTGCCGTTCTTTTTGGAGGAAAAAAACATAGGAAATAGCATCTACTTCTACAAAAGAAATGTTGTATGTAGTTCAGCGCAAAGTTTAGATTTTAGTTGAAATTGAAGATGATGTGACTGAAAAGTTGCGTGTGTATGACAGGTTGATGTGATGGAAAAGGACTGAAGTTTAATGCCAAAGAGCAAAAGAACATGCCCTACAGAAACTACTGAATTTTGATGATGGGCAAATCTATAGCTCAACTTTAGATTTATACTGTTGCGAGCCAGGATCTTGGCTGAGCATAGTACTCTTCTGTTTCTGTAGCATCTCGACAACTTCATCAAGAGGTGGGTCTCCTGGCCTTCTGAAAGCTTGATTCCCAATCTTAAACTCGTAAGCCTCTGGTTGGCTCAAAATAAACTCTTTCACCTACAAAACACACACAAAAAGCACATCATTAACCTTAAACAGTGTCACCCAATTATCACTGCTCTGAAGAACATAATTAGACATGCATATATAGTTAAGATAGTGCTGAAATTCTTCCATCTTTTCTATAACTAATCTCAATGGCACTATTAGCTCAAGATTCTTGCATCTTAAGCTGTTCAAGAGAATTGAAAATTGCAAGCAAGCTTCCTCCTACCTCAAGAATGTCCTGCCCTGTGTCCATGGTGAACATGAGAGTGCCAAAATCCACAGCCACGAATTTGGCCGCCACCGATCCAGTGCGCAGCACATTGGTCCACCTCGTCGCGATTCCCATCACCTCCTCCTGCGAGAAGAACTTGAGGTTTTTAATGGGCAGAAATGGCAGGAACCAACGGCGGATGGCGATCGAAGGGATCGATCCACGCACGGCGCACCTGGGAGCGGCGAACGCCGAGGCGGAGCTTGACGAAGCCGAACGAGGGGCCGGCGTGGCGGCGGAGGAGCTCGGCCTGGAGGGCGGCCGGATCCATGCCGGCCAGGTCGGGCGGCTGGCCGTCGTCCCGCGGTGGCGCCGCCGCGCCCCAATGGCGCCAGTCGTCGTCCTCTTCGTCGTCCACCACGTCTCGCAGGTCGTCGGGGATGGACACCCTCTTCGCCGCCACCGCCGTCTCGACGGCCGCGCACAGGAGGACACCAGTGAGGATCACCAATGCGCATCGCCACGCCGTTCTGGCCATCTGGAGTGAACTCGCGGATTCAGTTCGATGAGCTACAAAATGCGTGGCTAACCAACCATGGTCACAAGGCCGAAATCGCTTATTCTTAGGTGATATTATATTTTCTGGGTTCGAAACCTCACGCATTATGTTCTTCTAATATTCGCATTTTTTATGATGCACTTTTGAGGGCCCCTTTAAATTACAGGAATGAAAAAATGGAGGAATGGGAAAAACATAGCATTCTGACAGGAATGCAAGTGTAAAACATAGGATTGCAAAACATAGGAAAAACATACGAATGACCGTTTGATTGGACCACAGGAAAAACACAGGAATTTGATGAGAGATAAAGACTCAAAAGATTTCTTCCATGAGGTTCTACCTCTTGTTAAAATTCCTCCAAAACTTGTATGGGAAGAGGCACTCCATAGGAATTTCATAGGATTCCATAGGGTTTATTCCTTTGATTCAAAGTGCTTTGTAGTAAAAATTTCTACAGGAATAAAATCATCTAAAGTTCCTATGAATTTCCTTTGAATCAAAGGGCCTGAACTTTTTTTTGGAGTATTTTTTTCATAGTTTAATTGTATATGTTGTCCACAAATATTGGCCATTCTTCAATGTTTGCAGCTTCCAGTACAGAAATTCAACAAATTTATTCCCTGAGATGGAAAAATTGGAGGAGATTTATTTTACAACTATTATAATGTGAAATTATTCCTTATCAATTTCTCCAATCCCGGGGGTATTTTTTCATATTTAAATGTATAAGTTGTCCACAAATATTGGTCATTCTTCAATGTTTGCAGCTTTCAGTATATAAATTTAACAACTTTATTCCCTAAAATGGAAAGATTAGAGGAGATTTATTCTACAACTAGTATTTATGTATTGCAGTTATCACCTCCATGGGCAAAAATAAAAGGAAAAGAGACAGATCCTTAAGCAAAACGCAGGATATACAACATACTAGCAGAATATACAATTGTTTAGAGGGACTTAAGATTTGCCAGAATATCCTTAACATCCATTGAGTGGAAGACTGAGAAATCGACTTCAGGTATTTCTCTGCCGTGATTAGTTCCAAAGTTATACTTCAAACTTCCGACTTTTCCATCGCATCAAAACTTTCCTACACACACAAACTTCTAATTTTTCCGTCACATCATTCCAATTTCAACCAAACTTCCAATTTTGGTGTGAACTAAACACAAGCTCTTGTTTAGTTCCCAACTTTTTCTTCAAACTTCCAACTTTTCCATCACATCAAAACTTTTCTACACACATAAACTTCCAACTTTTTTCTTCAAACTTCCAATTTTAATCAAACTTTCAATTTTGGCGTGAAACTAAACACACCCGGCCAACAATCAAAAGGGGACTGAAAAGTGCAGAGTCCAGCATCATCACATCACACACGCGTGGGATGAGAATTCTCAATCGTATGCAACCTGCAAAACTTCCATGTACTAGAGTGGTTGGACTCATTTACTGACAGTTAACTCAGAAAAATAGAAATGGTCCAGATTTGTTCATGTGTCGGATCAGTTACTTCTAACGTACAGTAGTAGCAACCTTCTTTAGAACTGAGCTTTCAAGGAAATTAACAACTGAAATTATTTGTGGAATAACGCTTCATGTATAAACTGACAAAGCAGAAATAGATAACAGTACAGAATGTAATCTGCTCACAAATACACTCTAATTGCACCACAAACCTGAAGTTCATGAAGGGCCATAAAGTTATTAAATTCATATACTTCTAAAGTTATATGTTTACAACTTGATCGAAAAATCAAAATTGGTCATATTAATCATATATGATTAGCACAGATAAATGGGTAGAACATGCTCATCCTATTTAAGAGTAAAGAATATAAAGGTTCATGATTTCTGCTCGAGGTACAAAAATAATGATCTAGGATCCATAACAAATGGGCAAAGCTTGACATATCTACCTGAAAAATTATCTCAATTGAGAATATAATTTATCAAGATTAGGAGGCTAATGCAACATAAATGATAAGAGATTCGGTTTTCTGGCCTCTTTGCTGCTAGATGCCCCTTGACTTCATATTCCAACATTTTATCCTCCTTTCCCATTTATAGTCTCTTTACTCAAGTGAAGTATCCGCACGCAGAACTAGTAAGCAGGAAGTTAACTGTATTTGAAGAAATCACTATGAAAAGCACTAGTATGTAACAAGGATCCTCAAAAGAACAGCACAACAGAAAATTCAGACCTCTCGTAAGGAAGAAGTAAATTTCCTTGTTATCTTAAAAAAGAAGTAAATAACACAAATATATTATTATCAAAGTAAATAATTACATTATGATACTAATCTGCACAGCTCTGTCCAGATTTCATCTATAAACAACATCTTAAAAGAATAGAGCAGCAATTCTGCAACTAATACTGAAGCTTCCTGATTCTAAATTGGGACTTAACAATGTCCTAGAAGAAAGAATAGTGTGAAAACTTACTATGTTGCCAGTCCTTAGAAACCAAGTAGATTGTGAAGAAAAGTTGCTTCTACTGCTGCCATCTTCTAAAACACATGGCATGGGCTAGAATTCTACTTCAGCCACTCAAATGAAGCCAAAAAGTCCTCTTGAGAACAAGCGTGAATTCCTCCTCCTCCCCCTGTTCGCTGTTCTTGCACTTCTCATTGGTGTCAGGTAAAACCGCAACATCCCGTTATCCAAGTTCCCAGGAGAAGTATAATGCACACTCCTGCTTCTGCCAATCTTGCATTCCTTATTCCTAAGCCAATCTGTGCGGAAATTATGGACATCCCCATTAGCTACAGCTTGTGAGCTTCTGAATGAACCTTGGCTTGCTCTGACTGAACCATGGCCGTTGCGTCCAGGCTGAATTTCGCAATCCATGTCTCCAGTCTCCCCATTTCTACCCCTTCTGGTATCCTTCCTCGATTCCGAGAGCGACCGCTCAAGAACATGCTCCCCTTTCCTCACAAACTCCTTGAGTGGGCTAGTGATGCTACGATCCCACACCCTGCTCCACCTGTTCGACCTCCGCCTTCCGACACCTGACATTGTCATCTCCGGCCCGGTGTCACTGCAATTCCTTCTTCCACTGAGATGGCGCCCCTCGCCGCCGGCATCAGCCAAATGATCCCCATTCCTGCTCTCTGCAACGCCGGCACGACTCTCCCCAGCCTCTTCCTCTGCATTGCTCCGCTGAGCCCTCCTCTCCCCATCCGGAGGCGGCTGAGGCTCCTCCAAGCAGGCGAACGAGCAAGCCAAGGCCCTCCCCACCATCGACCCGTCCCACGAATGCCGCGGCGGCTCCAGGGAGCCCGACCCTCTCACGGGCTCCCGGCAGACCATCCACTCGCAGGATCGCCGGAAGCTGGGCTTCCTCTCCACCTGCGCATTGTCGCCAGCGCCGTCCGGATCCACCGGCCTCGGCCGCGGCGGCCGCGGGGGCTCCTTCCTCCTACTCCACCGCATCCCCTTCCTCGGCAAGATCGACCTGAGCCACGCCCCGCCCTTCCACTTAGCCCCTCGATTCCCACCTCCAGGGTCCACCTCGAAATCGGCGACCTGGGGATCCTTGGCGTCGGCCGGATGCGCGGCACCAACGGCGCTGCCGCTGCAGGAGTCGTCCAGCTGGAACAGCAGCATGAGCGTCTTCCGCAGCTTGCCGTGGTCGGCGCTGGATCCCTCGCCGGCGTCGGCGGTCCCGACCTCGACGATCTCCTCCTCCTCCTCCTCGGCAGGGTTGCGGACGGAGGAGAGGCGCTCCATGAGGCAGGTGGAGCAGACGCCGGTGAAGACCTGGGACGGGTGCCGCCCGCACCTCTCCACGCCGCCGCCGCCGCCGCCGCCGCCGACGCCCGGTTGCCCCTCCTCCTCCTCCTCCCGCTGCGGCTGCGGCTGCGGCTGCTCCACCACCACCTCCATTGGGTCGCGAGTGGAAGCTGGTTATGTAGCACAGGGGCAGAGCACGGCCGGCGAATCGAAGTCAGGAGGGGACAAGCGGGTGCGACATTGGCAGGAAAAAAACCCTAACGAGCCGCCCGAAAAGCGACTTTTGGGTTCGGGGGCGGCAGCGGCAGCAGCAGCCGCGTGGGGAAACGGGCGGAAAGGCTCGCTGCCTTTGGGCTTCTCTTCGCTTTGGTTTTGGGTCGCGTGGCCGTGGTGGTGGTGGTGGTGGAGATGGAGACGGAAGAGAGGAAACGAGACTACGAGAGGCGGATGCGATCGAGACGAGGAATCCGCGAGTCGCAGACTGGGTCTGGGCGCACACGCCCACGCACGCACGCGCAACGGGCTAACGGCACAAGACGAGACCCGCGGATCGCGTCGCCCGAAGCCGCAGCAACCACGCACGCACGCACACAGCGCGGCTCGGCGCCTGGGCCGCTGCGAGGTGGGCGCGGCGCGCGTAAATGCGCGGTGTACCACTGCACTGGTGCGTGGCCGCGTGGGGCTGGCTGCCTCGTTCGTCCGGTCGCTCGCTCACACGACTCACGGCGCCCGAGTTACTGCGGTTCGGTGGCTCGCGCCGCACGCGGGCTACTGGGACGGGACGCGGCTCCGGCAGTACGAGCGTGCGGCGGCTACGCATCTCGGAGGCACGGCCGCTGTCCCGAACCGAAGAGATAGCTCCGTTAACGTAGGGTAAAAAAGAAAAAGGTAATGTTCAGTTTGTTACCACTTTTAATCTTACTAAGTTTTAATATTATAAAATTTTGATAAGGCAACAAATTAAACACACTTAGGCCATTACTATCTTACTAAATTTTAGCACTTCTAGAAGTTCTCTCTCTTAAAACTCTACTAAAATTTAGCGAAGGCATCAAAGCCAACACTACAGAAATTTGATAATATCAATATGTGTTAAAATTTGGCATTACCAAATGTGATGATTGATTTGGACAACAAACTGAACAAACCCAAAGTCAATACTACTACTACTGCACTATACGGGAGAATTGATTGCTACAGTTGGACCTAAGCTTTCAATCACCCTCACGGCCCAATAGGCCGTCTCCCCGATCGAACAATGTACGCTGCCCAGTACACCGTGCTGATGTCCCCTTGTTGATTAATGATCTGATCAGCTGAATTGGCATGAACCGAAGCGAACTGTTTTTGCTTCGAGATGACTGAAGCAAACTGCTGAATAGGAAGTACTACAGCTCTTTGCACTGTTGCACAGTACTGCTGGTACTAAGGCCTTGTTTGGTAGGACTCCAAACTCCAACTCCCAGCTCTAAACTCCTACTCTAATGGGAGCTGGCTCTTATAGGAGTTGGGGACATGCTGAAAAGTGTTAGGTAGGTTTTGAGCTCCATATCTGAAATTAAAAAAAAAATCCCCAATCGCAGCTGCTGCCGTCGCTGTCCCCGTGTGCGGCCGGTCGCCTCCTGCCGCGCACCTCGTGCCGCAGTCCGCCCGCCGGCCGCCGCCCGCCGCAGTCCGCCCGCCAACCGCGCGCCGTCCCCGCCGCCGCCCGCCGCCCGCCGTCGACCTCGCCGCCAACCGCGCGCCGGCCACGCACCAACCTGCCGCACGCCGCTCACCACGTGCCGCTCGCCATGCGCCATTGACCCCACTGCCCGCCGCCAACCGCGCGCCGGCTGCCGGCCGCCGTCGAGCCCGTCGGAGTGGAGAGTGAGGGTGACGGGAGGGGGAGAGAGAGAGGGGTGAGAGATGAGATAGGGGTAGTTGAGTGGCATTTTTATGTAAATATGTAAAAAAATTTAAAGGGTAGTGGGTCTTTTGGTTTGGAGTGGAGCTGTGGAGCAGCAAAAATCCAGCTCCACCCCCGTATTACAAATTTGTGGAGTAGCTCTGCCAACTCTGCTCCTAAAAACAGAGGATCTGAACTGTTTGGCACAGCTCCTGCTCCAGGTAAGTTCGAGGTGAGAGCTGGAGCTGTGCCAAACGAGACCTAAAAGTAGCCTCGTAAATCCGATAGATAGAGGCAGCAGGCCGGAAAGAAGCTGCAGACTGCAGGCCGGTCGGATCGGGATTGCGCATGCTCTGCTCTCGAAGACGGTGGAGCCATACTAGATCGCGATGATTGGCACTTGTTTGGCCCAGCCGAGCCATTGAGCCATTGCCAATCGGACTCGGTGAAGCGGTCGCTTTTAGCAGATTTTAGTGCATCCTCGTTTCTAAAATACTATATAGTCTGCAGTGATGTCGCCGTTAGAGCATGTATAGTAGCATATTATTAGCTAGTTACAAACATATTTTAATAATATAAAAGATGAGAGATAAGAGTAGCGGGCTACAGATCTATAGCCAGCTGTAGCGTGGACTCCAAGACGCAATATGTGTATGACATGTGATATTATATATTAATAGTATAGTAAGTAACTATTGTATGAATTGGCTATTACATTGGCTATAGATAAATTTGAGCCAGTAGTCTGTTAAACTTGCTCTTACTTGAAAAGTAGGAAATCCGAGTAGTGGAAAATTTTTCGGTTGCCAGGACGATTTTGACACCACCAAACGTCAGGTGCACGGCGAAGCGTGTGGAACACAGACCCGTCGCTCTTTACATTACACCCGGCCGCCCGTCTGTCACCTCGCTCTTTTGTTGTCCTCGGCACCACCAACGCACGGTGCAACGGACACGCGCATAGATTAAAACGACGAAACGCGCCCTACAACAGCTAGACACATCTGTAAAATCCAACAGTTTCTGCGTTACCGCATTGACAAGGCAAACGTCCCGTCCGCTTCTCGCCAGCTCGCCGTCGTTCCGATCAGTCGGCCAACCGCGCGCACGCCGCTGCCGTCGGGCGCGGTGGATTCGCCGTGCCGCGACCGAGGGAGGTCGGCGGCGATGGCAGCGCATCCTGCCGAACCACATGTCGCGTGCCCGTGCCGACTTGTTATTGACTCGTGACTCACCGTTCGTTGTCACTTGGAGTAGTAGTGTTGTTGGATCAACTGAAGGATTCCGTCTCGTCTACGTGTATACCTAGATCCACCATACTCTGTGGTTACCAGGAGTGGGCCATGGTACTAGAGGGAGGCCTACCTGTCATACACCTGGATGGATTGCTCAATACTCCCTCAGTCTCCTAATATAAAAATTTTGATATTTTGTTTACACTGTTTGACCACTCGTCTTAATAAAAATTTGTGTAAATATAAAAAACAAAAAGTTATGTTTAAAGTATTTTGGATAATAAAATAAGTAAAAAATAAATAATAATTTTAAAAATAATTAAATAAGACGAATAGTTAAACAGTAAATAAAATATGAAAATCCCTTGTATTAGGAGGATAGAGGGATAGAGAGAGTACAGGTGAGATGTGAAGGCAAAGCAGAGACATGCATTAAAAATGATTGACTTTGACTTCACTTCGACATTTCCAATTCCACACGGCTGCCAAGTTTGGTCCCACCGGCGATTGAGTGGTTCAGGGCAGCGCTAGGCGATGTGTTTGTTCCCGGGATGGTCGTCGTCGGTTCAGCAGCAGCATAGACCAGGTGCAGTCAAATGCGAGTATGGGAATGCACAAGTACGACCATTCCGGTGCCACTCTTCGTCGAGCTTCCTTCGCTTGACATGAGACATTTTGTTCCAAGTTAGCAGCCGCCAGCGAGCCACGAAATGAATCAGTGAGTGTCTTATGTCTATGTTTGTCGCCATTGCCTTCGCTATCAGTCTTCACGACGAACACCGTCGAGTGCCCCACCGTGACCGTGAGATGTGAGATGACTGACTTGTGGTTTGTCAATCTAGTGTTTACTGTTGGTTGAAAACCGGAAATGGAACTATGGACGACACAAATTATAGGCCGGAGAGAGGACTTCCAAACGGATCGAGAGCAGTTTTTGATGAAAACTTACTTGATTTGCATAGCATTAGATACGCACATGAAAATCTTTGTCGAGGAGTGACCCTCTCTAGCAGGAGGACGTGAGTCCTCTCTTTGTGAGTTTGGCCAAGGGATTAAGTGCGGTGATTAGGAACGTGAGCTCGCCTGTGCGAGATCGATCCGCTGGGGTTAGGCTCGCAAGATGGATGGTGATGAAATTGGAGACAAGAGATTATCTAGGTTTGGGCCGTTGTGGATCGTAATACCCTACTCCTGTGTGTGGGTTGATCTTCGAATTGTTGCAGGGAACTCAAATCCTAAGAGAAACTACTAGGGCTTGGCTAGCCTCCTCCTAAAATTCGATCTATTAAGAGTCTTACCCTTGCTCGTAGAGCAAGGTCTTCCTTTTATAGTTCAAGGGGATACCACATGCACTGTCTCTACGCTCTCCTCCTTGGAGAGGGGCCCAAACCAACCTGAACTGAATAGCTGTCCATGCCTTGGGCCGGAAGCAAAGCATGTGGTCGTCCTCAGGTGGCCCCCACCGAGGCACTTCATCTGACACGGGGAACATCCCCCGTCATTCCCTCGTAAATTCTTGATGACTTCGCGGGTTCACGCGCGCGGGGTGCACCGACCCGCACGTCGATTGTAACATCCCGGCCTAGGGCTTAATAGGATTAATAGAATACTCATATCAACAAGTTGTAACTTTTTTCCGGAAGCCAATCTCCAAAGAACTCCAGGGTTAAGCGTGCTTGGCCTAGAGCAATTTGGGATGGGTGACTGACCGGGAAATTATTCCCGGGTGCACACGAGTGAGGACAAAGTGTGCAGAAAAGACATGTGTTGGTCTGTGAGGGCAGTCTATGACCTATGAAAGCTATCAGATGTAAGTGGGCCCGGCCTAGGGGAAGGCGACGGTTTCACGGACGCGTGTGTAACATCCCGGCCTAGGGCTTAATAGGATTAATAGAATACTCATATCAACAAGTTGCAACTTCTTTTCCGGAAGCCAATCTCCAAAGAACTCCAGGGTTAAGCGTGCTTGGCCTGGAGCAATTTGGGATGGGTGACCGACCGGGAAATTCTTCCCGGGTGCACACGAGTGATGACAAAGTATGCAGAAAAGACATGTGCCCCGTCTGTGAGGGCAGTCTATGTCCTATGAAAGCTATCAGATGTAAGTGGGCCCGGCCTGGGGGGAAGGCGGGATGTTACATCGATCCCCTGCAGCTGACGAGACGGGGCATACCTGCTCCCACGCCGCCTGACATAGGGTGGGTGTGGGTGCGCTGCCTCAGAGGGAAAGGCTTCCTTCCCCTCAGCCCTGGTACCCCTGGACCCATATCACCGATAATTATTTAAAAAATAAAAAATAATTATTTATATACTACTCCATCAATTTCAAAAATATCAATCTATAAGAAGATGTGATACAACGTAGTGCAATGAATCTAGGTAACTCTTTTATCTAAATTCGTTGTGCTAAGTTGAGTCACATTCTTTCGTAGGTTAGCTTTTTTTGGGACGAAAGGAGTACATGATAAATATAATATATGTTCTTTTATAACAAAAAATGACGAATTATTTAACCGTCTGATGGGAAATGCGTTACTCGATTTTGTGTTTCCACTAAAAAAGAAAAACACCAAAGGCGACCCTAGTTCCCGTCATTCCTCTCCCTTGCTCTCATCCTCGCGTATGTCACCACCTGCATATCACTATCGGTGCTCCTGACGCGAGTGTCCACTCCTTGTCACTGAGCGTTTTATTGTCTTTCTTCGATGTTTACGCTCCTTAATTATGCTCATGTCATAGGAACAATCACCTGTATGGCTTACTCCCTCCGTCCTAAAATATCAGCCTAAGAGGGGTTACTAGTACAACAAATCTGAACAGCTCTTTATTTAGGTTCGTTATACTAGGAGTAGGAGCAGGAGTGTTCACACTCCTTATAGGTTGGTTTTTTTTTGGACGGAGGGAGTATTATTCAACCCTATGGCTGCAATATTATTGTTAGGGCTTGTTTAGATGGGAAAATTTTTTTAGGTTTAGTTGTTACATCGGATATACGGACACATATTTGAAGTATTAAACGTAGTCTATAACAAAACAAATTACAGATTCTGCCAGAAAACTGCAAGATGAATTTATTAAGCCTAATTAATCCGTCATTAGCAAATGTTTATTGTAGCACTATATTGTCAAATCATGGCGCAATTAGGCTTAAAAGATTCGTATCGTAATTTACACGCAATCTATGTAATTATTATTTTTCCTATATTTAATACTCCATATATGAGAACTAAATAGGGTCTTATTGCTTGACCCCTACCCAAGGTCCTTCAACTGTTCAAGCGGAACTCGGTACTCTAGGTCTTTTAGGCTAAATACTTTTCTTTTTTGCTTTTAAAATATACTTTATAAACCATCATCTGCAGTGACTCAAATATAAACCACTAACATAATACACCAAGTAATAACTCTTAATAGTTACCTCACAGTATGATTTTAGTTCTCGATAAATAATGTTGATACTACAATTTAAAACTAAAATAGTGAACAATAACAAAAAAAAACTTGCTAATCAATAGATTATCATCATGTATAGTATTCATAAGTTTAGGAATAACATTTTTTTGGACAAATAGATGCAAAAACCAACACTTATGAGCACAAAGCATATAAAGATACTACCAGGCGATCGTACATCCTGCCCTAGGTTTGTAGTCAGGGTTGCCTAGAATTGTTCAATGCCCTAAGCTCCAAAAACCAGTTTAATATATTACAAATGCAAAAGGAAGGCACAAATCTTATTTGCCATTTGTACGACGAGATTTCAGTTGAGACCTCCTTTAAAATGTATGATCTCCAACAAAATTTTGTTGGTACGAATTGAACTATTTCCTACGAAAACTCTCTAAAAATCATGCATTTATTAAATAAAATGCAATTTTGTAGCAAACCCCCACTATCCCAAAACAACCCCAACACAAACAAACTCCACCTTTTAGATATTTTTGTCTTAAAAAATATAGACTACTAGTACACGATAACAACAACGTGGGGGCCGCATGCAGCGAAAGTACCCGAAGTCGCGAACCAGTCCACTTTGATCCGCGCGGGGCAGCCGAAGAAAGCGCCCAACCCCCGCCCTTTTCTTCTTCTTCTTCTTCTTCTTCTTCTTCTTCTTCCTCTCTCACTTTTCCAAACCATCAACGTGCCCTTCTATTTCCTTCTTCCCTTCCTCCGAGGGCTTCTGATCCGGAGAGACAGAGATGATTGGGAGCAGAGGCGGCGGCGGTGGCGCGGCGCCGAGGCCGAGGCGGCGGAGCGACCCGGGCGACAGCCGCGACCTCTCCGTGGCCACCACCACGGAGTCGTACAACTCCGAGAGGTCCGTGGGGAGCGGCGGCGGCCGCGGGACCGCCTTCCTCGACGCCTTCCGGTCATGCTTCGTCTCCGGGGAGGCGCAGGCGCGCTCCCCGGAGACCTCGTCGTTGTCCGACGACTTCCATCCCTCACAACAGCGTAAGTCCCAAGAACAAATTAACACGTGAATCCATCCTCCTCCTCCTCTTCTTCTTATCCATAATTTCTCCGCAGCTTTTAGGGTGTTTTTTTTCCTTGAAAAAGTTTCAAATACGATACTTTTGTCGGCCAAACTAGTCCTTTTTTTGTGTGTGTTGAAGATAGTACTACTATCTTGTTCGTCAACGGCTTGCGGTCAACGCGTACGATAGTGTTTGTACGGCGCTGTAATTGGAGAGGATAATCTCATGATATATGCAGAAGTAATATTTGCTCACGTACTAATGGTAGAAAAAATATGTCCAGTGATGACAACATTTCGAGGTATTTTTCTTCGGTTGAACTCGTACGGTGTTTGAGCAAAAAAGGTTTGATTTCTTTTCCTTTTTAAATCCGAGGGTAGTTTGGTTGTATGCGTTTTGTGGCGTGTGTTCATCAGGATGGTGCCTACTCATCTAAGATCTCTTAGTTTAATCATACGTGTGTAACACTCTCGAACTGCTTCTTTATTGTTTTTTGATTTGTCTCCACTTGATCCTGGACCCATCTTGGTCAAAATTCACCTACCATATTCCATACTATAAGCGAACCTATCTATAAGCTATCATTTCTTGATCCCTCTCTGATCAAAGCAGAATTTCAAGCTCTGTAAATTAACATGGATGATCATGCAATCTCCATGCAAAGTATTGCTCTGAACAATAAATATTTCAGTAGCTCATGCCAGAGTTATGATGCTCATATTAATTAATTAATTAATTAATATAGGTGTCGTTGAATTCATTAAAAAATGTGGATGCGAATTTTTGTTTTCACCCTTTTCACTGCAAGAATTATCATCGTTATGTTTTTTCCCCACCTGGTTCAGATACTTATTTCTGTTAATTGTTAAATCATCAGTATCACAGTCGATAAGCTCACAAGGTTCTAGCAGTGGAAGCAATTTTGAGATGCGGAGATCAATGAAAGGACTGTATAATCCAATGCATAGAAATTCTTCAGGAAAGGAGATCCCTGGAAGCACACAGTTCTCCTTACCACAGATCCAGAAAGCAACCAAAAATTTCTCGCCAAACCTGAAGATTGGGCAGGGCGGTTCCGGGACAGTATACAAAGGTCAGCTTAATGACGGCACTCTTATCGCCGTCAAACGGGCCAAGAAGGTTTGCTCTTATTTCTTAATGTTCATTTTGCAGACTGCATTAGCTATTGAATACTGATTACCTTGGTCGCCTTTCTTTGCAGAATGTGTACGACAAGCATATGGGTCGTGAGTTCCGGAACGAGATTGAGACGTTGCAATGTATCGAGCACCTTAATTTGGTAAGGTTTCATGGGTACCTGGAGTTTGGTGGTGAGCAGTTAATCATTGTTGAGTATGTTCCCAATGGAAATCTTCGTGAACACCTTGATTGTAAGAATCCCATGATCCTGGAAATCCCCCCTTTGTGAGAATATAAATCAAGGGTTAATGCTAATTGTATCTTACATGAAGTTAGCCATATGCAGGTGTCAATGGAAAAATTCTTGAATTTTCTCTAAGATTGGATATTTCAATCGATGTGGCTCACGCTGTTACATATCTTCACACCTACTCAGGTATATCTAGTTCTTCTGTAGTTCTATGTGATTTTTTTCTTCAGCAAATTGTATATTTGAAACCTACTGATTGGTGAATCTAGAGAAGATAACCGATAGTTACAGTTGAAATGTTCATGTCCCTAAAAGGAACAAACATTTAGGTAACATGGTGTCCTTAGCTGCTTCTAATATTCTTGATCTGCGTATCCATTTTCGTTTATTCCATCAATTAATTCTCTATGTGAGTAGTAGTAGTTAGTAGCCTGCCTAGATGCCATGCGGAGCTGATCTGCGGATTCCAGAGTAAATGTATGGCATAGCTATACTTCCATTGGAAAAATGCGTCTTTTTATGTAAAAATTGTCCTTGGTTACATGTTCAAACAACCACTTTGCTCACTATCAACTCATCAAGTAGCAACTAAATTCTAACCCTTACAATTTTACCTACAATGCAGATCACCCAGTCATCCACAGGGACATCAAATCGTCAAACATTCTTCTCACAAACAACTGTAGGGCAAAGGTTGCTGACTTTGGATTTGCCAAACTAGCTCCAACTGATGCTAGCCATGTCTCAACCCAAGTAAAAGGAACAGCAGGCTATCTTGATCCTGAATATCTCAGAACATACCAGCTCAATGAGAAGAGTGATGTCTACTCCTTTGGAGTTCTTCTGGTGGAGTTGATAACAGGGAGGCGCCCGATAGAACCAAGGAGAGCTATCGTCGAGCGTGTTACTGCAAAATGGGTTAGTTTTTGTGCTATTCTAATCCTTACCATTGCATCTCAAATCTTCCCCATTACCCAATGAAACATATAGCAAATTTTATACAGGCAATGGAAAAATTTGTTGAGGGAAATGCAATACAAACGCTGGATCCAAATCTAGAAGCAACTGATGCGATCAACCTGGCCGTCGAGAAAACGTACGAGCTGGCTCTGCAGTGCTTAGCTACAACTAAGAGGAACAGACCAAGCATGAGGCGATGCGCTGAGATCCTATGGAGCATACGCAAAGATTTCAGGGAGTTGGATATACCAACCGCATCCCTGAACTGAACTGAGACAGTTCACTTGGAGCAATCAAGAAAAGCTGCACTCCAGTTTGCCTCTCTTCAAAGCGTGGTGGTATGAATCACCCGATTGCTGGATGATGAATTTATTCCTTCAGGATGTGGTCTAAGTAGTTGTGATTGTGAACGGGACTGGTGATCTTCCTAGGAATTGTGTGTTCACCAGCTAGCAACTAGGAACAATTGCATAGCATATTCTGTACATGATAAATTGTTGCTGTGAGCAAGACAGACACAGATACTATATAATGGTATATTGGTTGAGGATGCAATTTTGTTGTGATTATTTAAAACTTCCAAAAGAACACACAAAGTTATATACAAAATCGTAACAATTTAAGCAACGTTTCTCAGTTCTTAAAAAGAAAGCAACGTATTTCAGGCCCAGGCAGAGCACTGTCCAAATCCATCCAACCCATGGCAATCGACCTCTAAAATCTTTATAAGATTGTCCATTCCATTAAAATAAAATTTTAAGGCAAAGGATATGATTGAATCATTTGTTTCAAAAGTTTTTATAGGAATTTTTTTTCTATAGGATTAAAATATTCCAAATTTCCTATGTTTTCCCTAAAATTTAAGGGAGCCTAGTTTTCTTTCGTGTTTGAACCCTTTTTTTTTAACCCGCAAGTGTGATGAGCATAGATTTTGTGGCTCCTGATGAGTCAGTACACTTGTGATAAGTTTTAATTTAAGAAAAATGTTTGTATGACATATTACTCCCTTTGTCTCAAAACAAGTTTATTTTTCACTCATTTGACCCATACCAATACAAAATAAAAAGATTAGAATATCCTTCCTTAATCAAATTCTAATATAATTATCTCTTTATCTACTCTCAATGTATTTATCTTCTACTTTTACAAACTCCGATGCAATGATTACTAAAAATAAATTTATTTTGAGACAAATGAAAGAGGCAAAAAATAAAATTATTCAGGACAGAAATGGTAGTTTTTACTAACCGAAGCATAACTCTTTAATATGTCTTCAATATGATCTCAGTAAAATCAACTCCCTTTAAACGTTACGTGTGTTAAGGGACAACATGATCATGACTGAGAGTAGTATGTGCTAGTCTTTCATGTAATCGCAAAAGAAAAAAAAATGTTCAGCTTTGTTAATAGTAACAAACCAGACCCTATAGCCGCGGACGATCAAAACTTACCTTGAAAGGGAAGTAGGGAAGTGCCGAAACGAATAAACAGGAACCACATCAGATCAGTCACGAGAGAGGTTCACTTGCCAATGCCGGTCGAACCGGTCATCGGCGGCATGAATAATGCAGTACAGAGGACCATTCCTCGTCAGCAGTGCACGAATCATCCGGAATTCGGAATCACATTCCACCTCTCTCCTAGTACTAGTGTCACAAGCTAACAGTCATGTTTCTTTCAAGTTTCAACTTTCAAGTTCATCTGATGAGAAAGGAACACAACACAGACAGAGGTGACGTGAAAACGAGTTCACATGATGAACGTGGCTGACTGTAGTCCCCGTTGTTAGAGAATGAAACAGAGCAAGAACTGAATCCAATATTTAAAAAGAAATGCTAAATAGTGGGATCATCCAACGGGATAAGTGTGATTACTGTCTCACCACCGTCCGACCAGCCTACCAATGGCACTATGCTTCAATAATTTTACATTTAGTACTAGAAAATTGGGTTTATTACCAGAACCAAGCAAGTCACGTGATGGGCGTGTATGTTGACATTGTTTACAATGGATGCATCAGAGATGAACTTACAAACTAATTAAGGCTGATCAGTACTTAAAAGTTACTGGCAAACCTAGAGTCAATTAAAAGAAACATAAGTCAATTACAGAACATAGAACATAGGGTCAAAAGAAGGGAATCACAAGCGAATACTCTAGCAAATAGTACAGCTTGAAGCGTCAAAACACACACAAAAGAGGCACCAACTGCAGATATATCCCAGAGTTCTCCAACAGGAACTATCTTTCCGACCATTTTCCAGCACATACTAGTATATACGTACTATACTAATGGCTTAACCAAAATAATGGTCTTGTGGATCAAAGCCTTTTATGAACGATCAAATTTGTGGCAAAACAGGGATGTGTTTCGTACTTCCTTTGAGAAAAGGATTGGGTATCTTGAAATTTACCAGGCAGGAAAAGCACATAAGATACTCATTTCAATTTGTACATCGTTAATGGGAACAAAAGAACTCTTTAACGATTGATGGCAAATCTGGTGGGTGCACATATCGGAATCCTGATCGAGTAGAATACTAGAACTGAGACTCCAGTCGGCGGTTCAGAACGCACCCTCAGTAGAACAGAGCACTAGATCTCAAAAACTTACATCATATTATTTCATTCTAGTTTTGAACAACCAGATAAGCATAGAAATTATCTCCTATGAGCCTGCGCTCTCTCAAATGGAAGAGCACACATTCTAAACAAGCTGCAGTAATTAATGGTTCGGTGAAACCATTAACTGATCTATGATATATATAGAATTCTTCTCGGAATGCATAAAAGAAGCACCTTCATGACAGACGATTGCAATAACTAAATTTCTGAGCTCACCGTGAAAATATATGTATTAACTAGTTAAAACACAAAGGCTTATTCCACAGCCAGAAATAAGCTTAAATGGCTACACATAAGCAACAGGCAGTATCAAAATAAGCAAGTTGTATGTTGTACTTTGATGCAAACACATTAAACAGGCCAATGATAAACAGGAAATAATATCCTGAAACCAATTTGGAAGAAGTGAACAAAAAACAGCTCTGTACACAGGCCTAAGTCAGAGAATTTATATATACACTGCACCGGAAAAACATCTCGGATATTATGAAGCAGCATTTTTAGAATGTATAACGATATTTGAGAAACACGCATTCAAAATTTCCGAACTACAGATTGTAAAATTTTCTCAACAAAGTAACAAGCAATCCTGCTATAGGTCGCTAGAACAACACCAATCATCCAGCAAATAAATAAAAAAAACATCTACAGTAGCAAGTACAAGATTTTTACTCCTATCCTAAATCTGTAGTATCACACAAGCTTTTACCTCTGAGGTTTGCACCTCCTCTTATGCCGGGTGAAGTCCGAAACAAACTTGTATATCTTGCTGCACCCAGGTGTTGTGCATTTATAAGGTCTTTTGCCAGCATGGACTTGGAAATGCTCACCCCGATCCCATGACCACTTGAAAGCCATACTGCAACCCTCCCATGGACACTTGTATGGCATATCATCATTGTGAATGCTCTGGTGGCGCCTCAGATACTTGTGGGATCTGAAATGTCTGCCGCATGACTTGACCGTGCATGTGTTCTTTTTATGAACAGAAAGCTCAGCTCGGTTCTTGAATGTCATGCGGCAATAATCTATTTCACATTGAAACCTTTTGGCCCTCTTCTTTTTACCCTTGCTAGCAGTTGAATTATCTTCAAGCTCTCTCTTTATGTCAGCAATTTTAATCTCTACAGATACAGCAGTTGACGTCACACTCTCGCAAGGACCAGTTCTTTCTGATGCCACTTTATCATCATATTGATCACAGATAGCACTGTCATCCATTTCAACATTTTCTTCCTTTACCTCCACCATTTCCAGCTTCCTTTTACCCCTGCGCCTAACATAACATATGATATCTGTTCTCCCTGACTTACCGATGCTTCTAGCCACAATGTCTGATAAACATGAAACACTGGGTGTATCAGTACATCCACCAGGTGGTGCTGCTTCATCTGCAGTTGGACTTTTGGAGCTAACATGGCCATTGCCTGTTGAATTAATAGAACCACCAACACTTTCTGCATTGTCTCTAAAAGGCTGCACTTTGCTCGCAACAGCCTCTCCTGCATTTCCAACATTCACATTGGCAACCTCCGAAACACAATCAGGAGGTCGTGGCTCATCTAAAGCAATGTCACCATCTCCACTACAAGCAGAAACTCTACCAGTATCTCCCAGCTCTGTGGCAACTCTGGTGAAGATACAGGTTCCTTCCTTAACTTCCATCTCTGTAGCTTCATTTACAAGAGAACCACTTCCTGTGACTTCTTGTTCCACGGAACCTTCATTATCCAGGGAAGCGAACCCTGTAATATGTAGGCCACTGAATGTATCTCCTAGCTCAGTGAAATCTTCAGTCACAACAGGAACTCTCTCTGTAACTTCCGGCAGAGAGAGTTCAACTCCTGGTTCAGTAGGAACTCTCTGTGCAAGTTCTGAATCAGCAGAAGCTTCAGTAACAAGAGAAATTCCCTTTGTAACTTCCATTTTGTCAGCAGATTCTCGAGAAAGCCCCCCTGTAATTTCCAACTTTGCAGCACCTTCACCATCAGGGAGAGCTCCTTCTGTAACTTCTCGCATAGAGACTTCAGCTTCTGGCTCAGTTGCAGCTTCACGCACAAGAGGAACTCTCTCCGAAACTCTTGGCTCGGTAACATTTGTATTAGCAAATGAAGCCCCTTTTAAAACCTCTGGTTCAGCGGTTGCTCCGGTAACGAGAGAAGTTACCCCGGTAGCAATCAGCTCCGCAGCAGATTCATCCGCAAGACAAGTTGCTGCTCTATCCTCCTGCCCACTAACAGCTCCATTAGCAACGGGGGCTCCTAGTCTAGCTGCTGGTTCAGTAGCAACTCCAGCACCAACATTTCCCGAACCTTCTAGCCTCGCCGCAGCATCAGTAAACGTGAGAGATCTTTTCGCGGGAGGACCGTCATCTATATCGCGCCCTTGATCTGCAATCAGGCAGCGGAACACCACAAGAAACACAAACATGGCACACATCAATGAGCCATTCCCCTATAGCACTAACATTGGAGTATTCAAGTGATCCCAAGAGTGGGCAGCAACACAGCGCGCACCTTCCGGAACAGGAGTTCGTTCGGCTAGTCCGACGCGCGGATCGCTCCTGAGCTCGGGTTCCAGCGCCCGGCCGGCAATGTGCCCCTTCTGCTTGATTGCGTCCGGCGCCACCACCTGCGGTATCATCGGCGAACAGAAACAAACCATTAGAACCCCCAACCCACTCGAGGCGAAATTCCTCGCTCGTTCCAGCGGCGGGATAATGCGGCGGGGGAGGGGGGAAGAGGGGTATACCTGCGGGGAGGCGGAGCGGGTGAGGTCGCAGATGGCGCAATCGTCCGCGGCGGCGTGGCACCAGGCCGCGGAGGCGGCGGGGGGCGGCGGGAGGGAGGAGGGGGCGGTGGCGGTGGAGGAGGCGAGGAGGCGCGCGGCGTAGCGGCGGATGCGCATGGCGGTGGCGGTGGAGGCGGTGGAGGGTTGGGGAATTTGGGAGGAGAGCTCCGCTTCGCCTCGCCTCTCCTGGGGGAGGGAGGAATTTTCTGGTGGCCTCCTCGTGTTCCGCCTCTCGCCTCCGCCTCGGCCTTCTTGGTGGTCTAGGGTTGCCGCGACCCGCGTGGCTTTTCTTCCAGCTGACTGTGTTGTGTGCCTGCCCTGCGTGTGTAGTTAGTCACGGTCTAGCGGTCTCCACTCTCCAGCGACTTCTGCTCTTGTGCAAGCTGAGCTTTCCTTTTCTTCCATGGCATTGTTCTTTTTTTTTTCCACGTTTGATTTGAATTTCTTGTTTTTATGTATAATCATATGGATGGTCTAATTTCATATTACTTACGTGATCCATGGGTAGCCAATCCAATTACTATAGTAGGGCTGCTCGGCTGAACTAAATACAATTGTGTTGTAGAAGCCGACAAGACAATAACAAACCGTTGTGTTGCTTTATATAGTTTTGTCGTTGATTGAATGCATGGCCGTACAAAGCTATTGCTCAAAGTTACTAAATCCGATATTCTGGTCTCCACTCTCAAGTGGCTTCTGCTTTGTGTTGTGTGCTGAGCTTTCCTTTACTTTTCTTTTCTCCGAATTGGGAATTTAAGGTGAAGTTCTTTTTAAATTTTCTGAATGCATAGTCATGTAAATGGTATAATTTAGTGAAATTAGGTTGTGCATGGATAATGTTTTTATTTATTAAAAAATTGATAACGGATAGTAGGTATTAATATGGTGAACCTGCTCCGCTAAGCTGGTTAGAGCTGCGACGTAGCAGCTAGCTAGATAACAACAAATTGTTGCTTTATATAGTATTGTCATTGGTTGAATGGTTGTACGACGCTATTGATTGAAGACGCTATTGATTGAAACTGCTACATCCTGCAATTGCACCAGTAGAGGATGCACATGTGTGTACCGCGTAGATGTGCTCTACCTGTGGCGTTTCATATGGCTTTATGGGTATGATATTATGTAAGGAATGATTTTTAGCATCTGTATATCGAGTGATTTAATTACGATGAAAAATGTAAAATATAGTTACGGAAATTATGTGTGGATATATTTTAAGTATTTTACGATTTTGTAGACATTTCTAAACACTTAAAAAAATTGAGTAGAATTTTACAATAGAGATTTTTTTTAATATAAATTAAATGAATTTTGCAAAACTCACAATCACACAACTACAAATTTAAAGTGATATATCATAAACCTACAACAGATTTAGCACCAAATTTATTCCAAAACTGCATATTTCAGACCAAGATCACAAAACTACATATGTAGTGATAAAATTATCACAAAGGTTTATGAGCAATTGAATCATGAAACTACCATGCTTATAGCTATGCTAGGGTTTTGCGATAACTTTAATATTAGATTTATAGTGTTGCGATATTTAGCTCTAAATATGTAGTTTTGTCGTAAATTTGGTGTTAAATCTACAGTTTTATAATAGAACATTTTAAATCTATAGGTACATGATAGTTTGGGCAAGCATATGTAATTTTGTGAATTTTACTCATAGAACTTTTGTACAGAGCATACTAAGATGTGTACTTCAACTTTCCCTTTGATGCATATCAAACTTATTTCAACTTGGGCTTGACAAAAACATGATTAATCGTGCAAAATGAACTCGACAACTTTCCGGCTCATTTATCTGGAGTGTGCCTCATTTGTTAATTGTTTTCTATATATATGAATATAATGTAAGTTTGAAAAAAAAACCATATATATACTACATAGACATTTTCACATCCATATGCATATACACACGCATGCACAAAAAAAAAAGAAGTACGAGACAGGCAATTCTATCAAAGAACAAAATCACACTACTAATTCATTAAGCACCCATGTATAAATTTCATGAACTATATGTACATCAATGCGGTGCACACGTATATTTTGTAGCGTATGGACGAATTGCACTACCATGCGATCGATGGATCGATCAATGCCGAGGACGGCGCCCGAGCCTGAGCTCCAAGTCCAGGTCCGGCTTCCTCTCCGGCGAGCCTTCTGGCGTGCGCGGCGACCCGTCGCCGCCGCGGCCATGGCGCCCGAGGCGCAGGTGCAAGTCATGATCACGATCAGTACTAGAGTCTGCGCCACCAAGCAGGCTCAGCTCCCTGATATGGCTATCACTGCTACCTGCAGCGCGCATGGCTTCCCCGTCCACTCCGGCCACCGTTGCCGTGCCGCCGGCGTAGGACGTGGCGGCGAAGCTGCTGCTCATCGGCGGAGATGTCACCGGCGGTGGCGCCGGGGTAGGAGGAGGAGGAGAGTACTCCAGGTAGCGGTGCTGGTTATAGCAGTCCACGTCGTCCCGGGACACCATCGACGTTGTGCCGGTGGCCGTGGGCCGCCGCGACGGCATGGCGCGGTGGCGGTGGCGGCGGTGGATGTTCATGTGCCCGCCGAGCGCCTGGGCCGTGGTGAAGCCGCGCTTGCAGAACACGCACCCGTAGTACGGCCTGGCAGCGGTCGGCGCCGCCGTGGGCGACGCCACCGCCTCCTGCTGCCCCGGCGAGCTCATCACCGGCGCCATCTCGGCCATGAACTCCTGCTCGCCGCCACACTCCATGTGGCTACCAATCTAGCTAGGACGATTCTTCGAAGGGTTTGGGGATTAATTAGATTAGCCGGTGAACGAAGAGCATTGCTATTGTCATCAGTCTCTCTGAATAAATAACGGATATTGCACGGTTTTGACAGGGTAGTTTCGGCCGGCCGGCCTTGATGCGTAGCAGCTGCCTCTCGATCGCTGTCCAAGACTTTGCCCTAGCTGTCTCGTGTGTGTGTGATCGCCTTGCAGTGCAAAATGGATATACTGGAGGCTGAAGCTGCTTCACACTGAAGAACTCTCTTGTGCAAAATGGATATAATAGTACTGGAGTGGTCCTTAAAGAGGTATCAAAGGTACCAAAAAATTTAGTGTAATTTTATGTACCTCCTAGTGTCGGAGATACCGAAAAGTTATAAATTTTACACTAGAAAATATAATACCTTCTAGTACCTTTTCAAATACTATAAAATCACTCATAGTGCAGGCTTTCTCGTTCAGACTTCAGAACTGCTTGTAGGTTGGTTTTCCTATATGTCATATATTAATCTGAGCAACAGTATATATCCGTGACGCCCTTGTTACAGACTTACAATTTGCAAGGGGTTCTAGTAGTGTAGTAAGCTCCTGGAGGTAGCATAAATAACCTTGCATTTTACTACATGGACATATGGGTTTGGATGATGACACTGGCGTTTTCTGAATAACAACTAAACTAACTTCTTGTGAGTTCAAAAGGAAAAGAAGTAGACCTGCTGTAACTTCACGTTTAAGAGTTAAATGGTCAGACATACTACAACAATTCCCCTATAATGTAGGAGTACATATAGAACTGAATGATGAAATGGTGAGCAAATTAATACGCGTATATGATGCAGCAATCACCGGTTCACGGATTACTGTCAGACATCACTGTAAACGTTTCTGTGAATAACTCCACTACAGATTTCCAATTTGCATCAATGGAGCAGGAGTTCTAGTAAAACTACTCGACGCCATTTTTTTTTCTAGCAGAGAAATTTCATTGCTTATGTGTATTCTTTCGGTTCTTCTTGAGGTGGACACATCGAAATTGTTTCATTTTGTTACAGTCAGCTGATGAAGCTGCTAGCTGCTTCTGTTGTTGCTGTCATCCTCGGACGCATCAATTAATGACTCGGCCCTGCCTAGGATGAAACTAAATTCTGAAACAATCATACAAACCGTTGCTTTCTTTAGATAAACTAATCTTAGATTACTATGCGTGTATGGGCAGATGTGATGCACAATTCAGACAGTACTTGTCTGAAGTCCAGCTTGCAAATTAGACTAATTGTGAGTCTGTGACGATTCTTCTTCGCATCAGCATTCCACCTTTGTAAGAATTAATTTACTGACATTGTTTGTCACCTTGCATTTGGACTCCGACGAAATGGCTTGCAGTTACAACATTTTTTATGAACCGTTGACTGGAAAGTTGAATTTGATGTCTCTGTCGAGACGCTTGCACCTGTGACCCTGGCTGGAGCTTTTGGAACTTTGGTCGCAGTCAATGTTGATCTAGATGGAATTGATAAATATAATAAGATTAGTTTCCTAATTATATTCAGGTTGCAAATATGCTACTCCATCTTTGTAGCTATGAACTCAGACTTCAGAGTTGCAAATGAGTTTTCGGAGTTCAGAGTTCAGAGTAATTTGTAGCTCTGAAGGTCCTGTGAAGTTGTGAGATGAGCGATCTTAGCTGATCCAGACAATTCCCTGAACTCTAGCTCTAGGAGAAGTTCAATGGACAGCACTACTAGTAGGGCCAAACACAAAAATGGAGCTCGTCAAAGCTCCATTTGTCATCTGCTTGCATGGACATTCAGTGACCAGTTGAGACCAATTCAAGGCATTGCCTTGAGCAATTGACAATGCCGGCCATCTTGTCCATCTTAGCTTCAAAGAATTGAGCCCTGAATTGGGCCTCCAATAATTAGGCCAGAATGACTTGAAACTGATCGAATTTAGTCATGTAGCCTAAAGCCCAAAACAAAGAGAAACCCACAAGACTTTCTCTTCCCCCCGGGTATCATATCAACATCAACCTTGTTAGTTCTACATCTGCGACATCCCAACCACAAGCTGTTTAGCAGTCTGACCTCTCTAATCCTCTCCTAGAAAAAGTCCAAAAACACAAGAAGATTTTTCTGAAACTCTGAACTTGTATCTGACGCCGGCAACCTCTGAATTGTTTACTCCTCTCTTTGCACACGGACCCTTAGCCTTAGCTGTTCGTACCTACTCCTCGATTGTTTAGTCTCCTGCAAGCTCAATTGCAAGCCGTCTTCCGTGTTCTTGTCGTGGAGGACATGTACACGTACGCATGCAACACCATTGCTTTCCATAATGCAAAAATACTACCCGGCACAAACTTACACGTACTCTCTGAAGGCAAAAACAAGTGAAGAAATTCAGGGAACAGACAAACCGGGCAATCAGAATTGCATGGAGAAAAGTGGGTGTTTGCACGTACGGAGAGGCTGGAATCATTGCATAAACTATAGCCCAGGTTACGTGCAAACGATTTCTAATTCATTTCGGCTAGTAGCTGCATGGGCTATTGGGCTTTAATTAGCTTTGTTTGATTATTTGCAAAAGCCGGTAGCAGATGAGAGTGAGTGTGTGTTCTTTTCTTCTCGACAGAGCTGGCGCACTTGAAGTGACCTTTGCAACAACCCCTAAATTTGTATAGAATTAAGGACAATCTAGTGTCGTCCATAATCATGAACGATCATAGCTTGGCCATGATGAGTCAGGTGCAAACAAAACTGCAAATTAAAAGCTTCATAAAACTCTGAACTTCTCAAGGCCCCCAATGTCAATCAAAGTGTAACCAAAACTGTCCTACCATATTCAGATACTCTACTTATCGTCATTTTAACGGAGACACATATAATATATGCATGCGTCCATGCGCATATAATTGATCGGTGAAAGCGATGTGTGTTTTGATTGATCGACCGTGCGAAAATCGATGTGATTTGCGGGTAAGATGGCCCTGAAATTTCGTGCGACGGACAAGAAGCAACGCTGTACCGAACGAACTGAACCCGGACAAGATCAGAGCAAAGTCCACGTTTGCCCGGAGGTAAACTACTCTCTGAAAACCAAAAGGCATTCGGCGGCAAAAGGCGCCGCCGTGCATGGCTGCTGTTAATTAAGTTTAGTTCTTTTAGTTCCCCCTCTAATTAATTCCTGCAAGCACACGGGGCCTCATCTCCTGAAGAACCTGAACCCACTTTGGTTGAACTCATCATACGCACGTACTACTCCACCTTCTTAATTCTAAGCTGTTAACCTTGTTTCATTATTCCAGAAAAACTAATCACGGTCGGTTCATAATCACTTAATCAGTGTATCACTACCGGTTTTTAAACCTTTACAGATTAATTACCGACATTGATATCCAGGTTTGGATTGTGCTGTTTCTGGTGGTGTTTTTATCCTCTCAGACATATTTGGAAAATTTTGTTCAAGCTGAAATAACCGTACACTTCATCCGTTTCAATTTTTATGTCATTAGTATGAACATTTCTCCAAGGCATTGATTCCAATACATGGAAATCAAATTTTTTTCCCCAGCCAATCAAGTGTTCATAGAGAAATCTAAGCAATTCAAAATTTTAACTAAAGATAATATTTTCTCTTAACCTTAATATGTGCTTAATCATTTTGATTTTTTTTCCTAGTCAAATTTCTTTATGTTTGGCTAAGTTGATAGAAAAATTTAGTAACATCTACAACACCAAATTAGTTTCATTAATTTAGCATTGAATATAAATTGATAGTATGTTTGTTTTATGTTGACTATAAAATATTAGTAGTAGTAATGGTGTCCATTCTACAATAACACCCTTACCACTGATATTTGGGGCCCATAATATATACTATTACACCACCCTCCAACGAGTCCTCCTAAATTTCAGTGCTGGTTTCACTAAATTTCAAAATCACCTACTTGTAGAACAAGGAAAATTATAAAAGTACTACTTAGATTAAAATTGATTTCATAAGCTAAAAACTCAAATTTTTTTTGCAACGCACGGGTTCTTAGCTAGTTTTTCTATAACCTAGTCAAACTGTAACTTTAAAAAGTTTGACTTAAAAAGTCAAAACAACTTAAAAATATACAACGGAGGGAGTACTAAACAATATAGAAATATTTATATTTTGGAACAGAAGGAGTATATTTTTTTTCGAATAAGGAACAGAAGGAGTATAAGTTGTAGCTCATCGGAATAAATTAGGAGTGTAGACGTACCATTGTTTGAAAAAATAAATAGTGTAGACAAACTAACATGTTTTGGGTGAAAATTTAGTGAGACCATGTGCCGAGTTGAACATTGGTAGCAGGTACTTATAAATTCGAGTAGAACCCATTCCTCTCATGAGATACATGTGTGGGCCATAAATTGTGCAAATGAGCAATATTAGGGAGGTTGATACGCAAGAGATTGCTGCTCCTTTCAATTCGTTTTTTTTTCTCAGAAATGAATAATAAATAAGCTTATATTGGAGTATTTGGTTGTCCTTAGAATTAACAACACACTCGCATGTCCCTCGCTCTCCTGTACATCATGCGCATTCTTCTCTGGCTCTGTCCCCTCGCGCCCTCGCAGCCATGGCCGTCTTCCCCCCTATAAAACTCAAGTCCTCTTCGTCGTGGACATATCGTCGTGAATTAGCTTAGGTTATACTAGCTGCCAATGGCGTCGTCGGGAGTGGGCGGCGTGCCGGGGTCGCCGTGCGGGGCGTGCAAGTTCCTGCGGCGCAAGTGCGCGGCGGAGTGCGTGTTCGCGCCCTACTTCTGCGCGGAGGACGGGGCGGCGCAGTTCGCGGCGATACACAAGGTGTTCGGCGCCAGCAACGCGGCGAAGCTGCTGCAGCAGGTGGCGCCGGGCGACCGGAGCGAGGTCGCCGCCACCGTCACCTACGAGGCGCAGGCCAGGCTGCGCGACCCCGTCTACGGCTGCGTCGCCCACATCTTCGCGCTGCAGCAGCAGGTAATTACAAATTCTTAAACCCCTCGCGATCGATCGATCACTCGCCGGCGAGCTAACTTAGCACACGGATGCCGCAGCTGGCGACGCTGCAGGTGCAGGTGGCGCAGGCGAAGACGCAGGTGGCGCAGACGCTGGCGGCGGCCGGCATGCTGACGGCTGGGAACCCTCTCCTCCAGCATCAGCAGCAGCAGCAGCAGGCGTGGCAGATTGAGCACGAGTCGACGATGACCTCGACGCAGAGCTCCGGCTGCTACAGCGCGCCGCGCTCCGACGGGTCGACGTCGCTGCAGGACATGTACTGCTTCGGCGAGCAGGAGGAAGGCAGCTACTCAAGATGAAAACGAAACCAAAAAAACAAAAGTTTCTTCTTAATTTGCAGCTTTCGTTTGCTTCACAAATATCACAAGTTCAGATTGTACCATGACTTCCCTTCTTGAGCTTAATTTCGCTGGAAAAGCACTGTGTCACTTGCGATTTCAGCTGAAAAAGGGGTGCAAAGATTACGTGGTCTGTAACCAAGAAAAGGTTACAATTTCATAATCCAGAATCATATAATTAAAACTTTGATGAGAGATGGGAGCAATTAAACATGAACGGCAAGAACAGAGCTGGCAAGTGATTAGTAGCAAACACACCTGGTGACATGAGTAGTAGTGTTCTTTTCTTTTGCTTTTGGGTTGGCTCGTACCCACCTGAAGGAGCAAGCCTCTGATTGCGCGCACGCTGGATTATCCAACAGCCTAACCTGGGCCCTACGCACATGATGGGCCTTCATGGGCTGCATTCGGCCTGCGGCCTGGTGGGCTTTAGTGGGCCACCTTCCTGTTTTTACCCCTAAGAAGAAGGGTGATCTGCTCTGCTCATTTGTGGAAAATTAAACAGACATTTTCTTTTTTGTGTTCATTTAAATTCATACTACTTGTTACTCACTCCCATAACAAATACTCGTCGTTTTGGATATCGGCAGGTAGTTTAGTACATCAATCTTTACTTGTTCTTTTCCCCCCCTAAAGCGGCTGTATGTACCGTACTGGTGTTTACTTCCCTTATATGCACATTATTTGCTCAAAATACGATGATAGGTAGTACTATAAGGGTGTGTTTAGTTCACGCTAAAATTGAAAGTTTTTGTTGAAATTAGAACGATGTGATGGAAAAGTTGGAAGTTTATGTGTGTAGAAAAGTTTTGATGTGACGGAAAAGTTAGAAGTTTGAAGAAAAAGTTTGGAACTAAACCAGGCCTAAGTTAAAAATCAGGCTGCATTTTTAGTGGCTCAGATTACTTGGGACATCCAGATAGAAGATTATATGTGGTTAAAACTATATAGAGATAGATAGCATTATACTCTATTTTACAAATTAAATCAGTTTTCGAAAATCATGACTATTTACATACAAAGTTCTAGGATTACTAAAAATCAGTAGGGTTGTGTTGGTAGCGATATGTTTAGTTCACTGCCTTACTAAATTTTGGAATAGTCGATCGAAAATGGTAAGAAAGTGAATAAGCTCCGCCTACAGACTTTTAACATAGGATAATAGTCCTTCAACAAAAAAAAATCCAAAATTATTTTGGAACATAAGGTACAGTAGAATATTTGTATACATCATCCGAAAAGAATTAAAAACAAAGATGCAGCAGGAATGGCCGAATGGGGGGAATAATCCACCTTGTGATGGTTCAGGGTTAAAGTGAGCTGATAAAAGTTTGGAAGGTTAAGTACACTGGTGAAATACTTTTGACAAAACCCTATCATACAAGGTTTTTTAGCAATGTTTTCAGTAATATTATAATTTAGAGGGATAAAGCTAACCTTTTCTTTTTGAGAGGGATATATTACTTAATATGTTAGGTTATATTATAGGAAATAAGTGAGACAAGGGAAATGGCATATTGGAAAAGTTATGCATGTATTGCTCTTCACTGGAAAGAAACCAATGATTGTTAGCTTTCATTGCCAGGTAATAAGCTAATTACGATTGATAACTTTCCTCTGATCGATGTCTGTGTCTGTAATGATGCAAAGTATCATTTCTTCTTTGTTGTTTTGTTGCTTTTCATTATATTGCATTGATCCAATGTATAATTAGCTACTCAGTCCATGCATGTATAAATACAATACTGCGTGGAGCATACAACTTTAGTTTGCCTGGAAAGAACTTTTTATCACTTAAGTTGACCTTTATTTGTGCCTGTGCGAATCATATCACTTTAGTTGACCCTGTTTCTCATTTTTAATGAACCAAAGGAAATTACACTTTATGGTTATTCTCACATCAAGGTACTTTGTCTTTAAAATATGATAGCATACTTATTCCTGACAAAGTAAAAAAAAAAACTGTGTATTTAGGACTTATATCAGTTATAAGAGGTAATCATGATCAAAATAGAATATGAAAAGAAGGAATTGAAAGGACTATAGTGTATATCTAAGATATACCGGCTCTATAAATATATTCCTGATAAAAAGACTATTTAATTATAAGCTTCTATATATGATCAAATTAAATATATACAGATCCTCAGGAATCCTCCAAAGAATAATTATATACTGGGGGAAGGTATTTATTTGAAGTTTTTTTGGTGGATTACAGTTTAGAGCCTGTATAAGCTAGCTATATATAGTACTTTGTAGGATGAAACTGATCATGGTATACATATTGACTGCAACATCATCGCATGTAACACGCTACACATATTAGTTATGAAGAGATCACTATATAAGATCAATGAACTACTCCAGTTACAACCGGAAAATGGCACTGTAAATTAAAGTATAATATTTGCGCCATTAAAGAGTTTTCTGTTTAAGGATTCAATGAAAACAGTGGTGTAGTTGGATTTTCTGATGTGTGGCCGCCGGCCATGAATCAGTTGTCTGTCACTAATACTGTGTAGCATAGCAGGTTTTCTCCTCTTCGATCGCAACATATATTTTCTGCATGATTTGTGATCTGTCACAAACTACAAACAGAACTCGAGAAGAAAACACATGCAGTAGTCCAGACAGAAACAGCACCAGACATGCATATGATCATATGACAAGAGAAATTTTTGCTTTCTAATTAATTAGGTTTCTACAGCGATCGATACCAATGAACTCTCACATCGATCCATCCGAATTATTGCTGGCAGAGATCGATCATATCTGAGTCTAGCTAAGCTTTGAAACTCTCTCACATATTTGGCCCAAGCTGCAGACTCGATCATATCAAGTCCAAAACATGATCAGGAATTAATGAGATTGAGATATATATCTCTCTCTATATATATCTTGTGATGATATATATTCTGCACTGCACTAGTAGTAGTTCTTAGTTCGATCTTACGAGCGGTTAAGGTAAGCGTAGGCGACGCTCTGGAGATCCTCGCAATCTTGGTATCCCGACGACGACGACCTCCACACGCTCTCGTCGGCGGCGAACGACGCCGCCATGCCGCACGACGACGACTCCGCCGCCGCCTCGAAGGCCGCGGCGGCCGCGTGCCCGTCGTCCACGGCGCCGGCGCCCTCCGAGTGCTCGAACGCGTGGTACAGCGAGTGCTGCATGTAGTCCGACCCGGCCGCCAGCAGCGCGGTGATGGAGTCGTGGCCGTGGCCGGCGCCGCCATTGCTGCTATACGCGCCCGGCTGCGACGCCGCCGGCGCGCCGCCCCCATTGCTGCCGCACCACTGGTTGTAGCCGCCGTACCCTAATTGGTCGTCGGCGGCGGTGGCGGCGGCGCTCATGTAGCCGCCCTTGGTGGTGGCGCCGACGTCCTGGTGGTGTATCCCTTGCGCCGCCGCCGCCTTGAGCGACGCCAGCTGCGCCTGCAGCGTCATCACCTGTTCGAACACGCGCCGCGACACCAAGATCAGCAAACCAGCGACGCCGACGAGCGACACATCGATCGAATGAACTATACGAACCTGCTGCTGGAGGGCGAAGATGTGGGCGACGCAGCCATAGATGGGGTCGCGGAGGCGGGCCTGCGCCTCGTAGGAGATAGTGACGGCGGCCTCGGGGCGGTCGGCGAGCGGCAGGTGGGCGAGCAGCTTGGACACGTTGCTGGCGCCGAACACCTTGTGGATGGCGGCGAAGTGCGCCGCCCCTTGCTCGTGGCAGAAGTATGGCGCGAACACGCACCCGCGCACGCACTTGCGCCGCAGAAACTTGCACGCGCCGCACGGCGATCCAAATCCCGTCATCTTGGCCGCCGCTTCTTCTTCTTCTTCTTCTTGCTCCGGTGATCTCGAGCTCCTTCGTGTGCTTCTGCTTATGCTGCTTCTTCTTCTTCGTTGAGGCGGTGGTGATGCAGCAGCAGCAGCTGCACCGGTTGCTTATAAGGGGAGAGAAATGGAGAAGGATTAGGGCCAGGGGATTAAAAAAAATCGATCTTGTCTCCCCAATGGGCAACCAGCTCCATTATTTTGAGCTCTTCTCCTTCTTTGTTTCTAAATTTTATGCCCCATTTGCAGAATTGGAGAGAGCTGGAGCTAAGCTGCTATTTCTACTACTACTTCTACTTCTACTACCACTCTGCTAATCCAGAGGAGAAGCTAAGCTACAGCCATAGTACTAGTACTCACAAAGGACAACCAATTGGGGTATAGCTAAACTAGGTGTGGTTGGGACTAATTAATTTTTCAGTTTTTTTAAATTAATAAAAATGGAAAAGAAAACTGTTCGATCGATCGATCATTTGCTTGGTTTTTTGGTCTTGTTAGTTTATCTCCTTTGCCTGCTTCTGCAATGATTTCTTTTGTGATTAGTTGGGCTTGGCTGCTGTGAGACTAGCTAGCACAGTTCACTTTATAAATTTGGGGATAAATGGGTTTTTTAATTTTGGATGTATGGTGTAGTACACACATTCATACATCACCTGGCCATGGATGGCTCAAGACGTGGAGTTGTCGCTGTATGCTATAGGTCTCATACTTTTCTTTCTTCTTTTCTTTTTTTGTTCTTGGGTTTTTTTTTCCTCAAGGGACACAAGGAAAAGGGAACAATCAATGATGGGAAAGAACTGGTTTTATTTTTTGTGAGAGACATCTCATTGCTAAGTTATCAGGAAAATATTTTTGTGTGCTGTACTAGTCCTTATTTTTCCTCTGCTGTAGGCATATATGTCCAGTCCTCTGACAAAACAATCTAGCAATAAGGTATCAACTGGTAGTTTAAGTATGTTGTTTTCTTATTTGATTAAAAAAGGATGCAATTTGTGCCTTAAGCTGCACCAACTCTTAAACTGTGGCACCAAAGATTGAAACAGAGCAACTGAACTTCTGTCACTCTGCTGCCTCAGCAGCTGGTAGTGTTTCAAAACTCAAAAAGTGTGACACCTGCACTTTTATCCTAAGCATGGCTTTTGCCTTCCACTAATATGAAGGTTAGCTAGCTCACCCAAATTAGGCTGGTCTATACTAATTTTCCATTACATGGTCCTGCCCTATGCTTACCATTTCATTACTATTGTGAGTCCATAACTAGCATATCCTATCATGTTCAGGTTGTAAAAATCACTCTACTGCCTCCTAGATTCATTGGCTGATTGGCTCATGTAGTTTATGGAGAACTCTTTTAACTAGTATTAAGTAGTAAAGAACACACTTGAGTTACATGAGTTCATTTTCTTTTCTGTTTAGCCCAACATGGTGCGGTGGTCCTCATCTCACAAAGAAATGGAAAGGAGCAGATAAACAAAAACCAAAGCACCACAAAGTCAGAATCAGAAGAATCAAGAATGTGTGTGCTAGTAGTCCCCATTTTCTGCTGTCCAATGGAACATGAGATGGAACAGCAACAAGTAAACACTCAGATATTCTTGACGGCGCAAACTTACAACCCTAATATTCTCTGCAAACATTCCCACGGGCCTCTCTCGTGTGCATGTTCCCCGAATTTCACCCCTACTGTAACCAAGCAAAATGCAAGAATTGCTACTTCCTAGGCGTTAAAAGCTGCAGATAACGTGTCTATCTGATAGTTTTCACTTCTACCTGACGGGCCGCAAATGGCTATCAATCCAACTAAAAGTGCTCCCTCCGTCTCAAAATAAGTGCAGTTTTGTATTATTTATGTCTAACATTTGACCGTTCGTCTTATTTGAAATTTTTTTACGATTAATATTTTTATTGTTATTAGATGATAAAACATAAATAGTACGTGCGACTAATTTTTTTTAATTTTCTCATAAATTTTTCAAATAAGATGGTCAGTCAAACGTTATACATGAATTTCCATAACTACACTTATTATGAGACGGAGGTAATAGGATACTTGCAGGCTTGCAGCTCAGCCGCCAAGCACTTCTGAATACTCCCTCCGTCCCAAAAAAGGCAAACCCTGGGTTTCCGTGTCCAACTTTGACTGTCCGCCTTATATGAAATTTTTTTATAATTTGTATTTTCATTGTTGTTAGATGATAAAACATGATTAATATTTTATGCGTGACTTGTCTTTTTAATCTTTTTCAAAAAAATTTCAAATAAGACGGACGATCAAACATTGGGCACGGAAACCAGGGTTTGTCTTTTTTTAGGATGGAGGGAGTAAGCTGCAGGCTAATGATATGATTACTGTCAGAGTGTCAGGTTAGGTAGACGTTTCCCCTAATGAATATTTTGTCATGAAATCGAGATGAAGTACTTGCAATCCAACTCAACATTTGGTCGTGGATTAAATTGTTCCTTATAGCAGGTACAATAGCAGGCTATAAGCCAGCTATAAATATATTTTAAAGAGATAAAAGAAGAGAGAAGAGCAGCGGGCTACAGATCTGTAGTCAACTGCAGCACTGACTCCAAGACGTACCGTGTATATGACAGGTAGGACCAGGTATTAATAGTATAATAAGCAACTATTGTATAAATTGGCTATTACATTAACTATAGATGATTTGAAGCCAATAGTTGGCTATAATATTAAACTTGCTCTTATAAAATGCAAAGCACTGCACTGCAAGCAGATATATCTGAATCTGCTTGGTTTATCAAAATAGAAATGCTGAAAACGCCACAATATGATTGTGTGTGTTTTACCATGCCACCTACTAACAAGTGTAGTTCGATATCCTTCAGGATTTTTACATGCTAGTTTCCTTGGGTGTCACATCAGTCTTATAGGAGGTGGCCGCAAATAAATAGTTGAAATGGAAAGAAAGGCTATGGTAGGTCTGGTACTGGAACCCCTTGGGGACTTAATTTTTTTGGATGCAGGCTTAATTGGTCCCACAATGACCACTAATACAACCCTTTCCCATTGTTTACCTTGTAAATTTGTTCCCTCCTGGGGACTAGTGTTAATATGTCAACTTTTGGAAACAGGAAGCACAGAACTATTTCTCCTTATAGCTGTTTCTCTTGTCTACTTTCAAGAACTAATTTCTTCATGGACAAGTTGTTTAACACAATTATAAGAAGATTTAGTTGAAAAGGGAAATAAATATTTGATGCTTAGAATAAGATGCGGTTAAATGATTCTTACCATCAGTTTTACTATAATAAGTTTATAAAATCTAATAAGTTTATAGTATATCATAGTACTTCCTCCGTTCTAAAATGTAGGCATGTTTTAGGTAGACACTAATATTAAGAAAGTAGGTAGAGATAATTGGAGGATGGTTGTGATTGGTGGAGAAGAGAATGTAGGTGAAGAAAATGATTGTGATTGGTTGAGAGGAGAGGGTAGGTAGAGAAATAGTTTCATTTTTTGGACAAGTTACTGTGCTAGAAATAGCTACATTTTAGGACTGAGTTAGTACTTTTCATGGCAAATCGATGTATACCTCTTTTGTTCTAAAATTAAGCATATGAAAAATTATCAATGGTCTGGATTTTAAAAGTTTGATCGAATCTTGTCTTAAACATCAAATATTTTTTACTAGAGGGAGTAGCTGCATTTTCTACATACTCCAATGCTCTTATGATGACAACTAAAATTTATCTGAAATAAAAGCTTAACACGAGGTTCTTCTAGCAACAACGGTGAATTAAGCTGGATTACTGAAACTCTAAAAAATAGTGAGCTGGCATAACTGTATAACTAGGGGGCCATTTGGTACAACCTCTACTCTAAGAACAAAGTAAAGTTTAGGAGCGGCGGAATGCCACTCCCTCCTCGTAGTGCATTTTTCCTGAGAGATCTGCCCGCTTCGTATTATCTAGATCTTAAAAATGTTTGGTACAACTCCAGCTTTATAGGGATTCTGAGCTGTAACAAACATGCGGGGTCCAGACAGACAGAGGTGAGTCCCAGACAGACGGGGTCCAGAGGGGAGGAAGGGGACAAGCAGGCCCTGAAACCTTTGAAGGCCGCAAGCAATTGTTGCCTCTTTGCAACGCCGCGCGTGCTCGATCGCCTTGCTCTCACCTGTCATTTCTTCACTCTCCATCCATCCGCATTTTTCCCAATCCAATCAGTCCTCCTCGCATCACCAATTACAGCCTGCATCCATCCATCCATCCACATATCCATGCATCGTGAATGTCATGTGAGAGCCAGCAATCACCACCACTTTTTTTGCCTTCTTGGGGAACCCCGTCTCCTACATTCTACTTGTAGATTCTACTCCTTGGCTAATTTGCTTTTTCAGTTTCCATCTCTGCCTAACACTGTACTACTACCCAATCTCCAGGCTCTGCATATGCTTCCTTTGCACCTGTCACACAAAGCTAAAACATGAATCTTCCTGTTCATTGTGAGCCATATGCATGATGAAACAAGTCGGTAGAAAAGATGCCAAGATCGAGCACACATTGCCCACAGCTAGTGACTGATTAAAGAAGCAAATGATGACTCAATATATGGGGCCTGTACTAGTAGCAAGATCAAGGTAGCCACCCACTACTAGCCGATGAAACCCACATTGATAATAGTATTATCGATTTTCATCAGAATTTAGGACATGTTTTTTGTAACTTGTGCTGATGTGTTCTGCCAGAGCTGGGACCCATCCATTGCCGTCGTAGCCAGCCAATTTAGCGGCCGGGAAACCAAGAGAAGTGGGGCTATATATAAAAACTAGTGCAGAAAAAAAGCTCTTTGAAGAGGTTGGCAGTTTGGCATTGCATGCACTATTGCAAATATGCGTTACATGGAGCAAGGAAAGGACATGTTCCAAGTATTCCTGGGGATGAGCAGATGGAGCTTAGCAGCAGTGTCCCCAAAGCACTGACAGCGAGTTCAGCTCAGTGGTGGGTCTCATTTTTGCTCTCCTACTCTCCCACAAGTTCCATGAAACGAATGCTAGTGCCCTAGCTCTCTCTCTCTCCCTCTCTCTCATCCATCGATCAACCCCCGACATTTGCATAATATCAAAAAGATTGCTAGTACCAACATGGCTTAATTGGTAGTAGTATTTTTGTGTGTGTCTGTCAGGTAATCGATCAGAAGATCAGATGGTAAGTACAACTATAGCTTAGCTACTGCACTGAGAGTCTGAGATTAATTTGTATTGCTGCTCGATCATTCTTGTGAAGTTTGGTGTGATCTAGCTAGCTTTGCTTCATCAGATGCTCACTGGCATGCGTTTTTTAAGGATAGCTGATTTCAAGCAAGAGTACCTAATACTGGTAGTAATTAACACTCAGTTTCAGACTTTCAGTATAAAAAAATCAGTTTCAGACATTGCTAATAAGAGTATTTAATTGGGTGTCACCAATCATCAGAGAAGTCAGAGAGGC